TGAAGGAACTTTGGATGATGTGCTTTTAGAACGTTAGTAAATCTCAACCATAAGGTCTGTTAGTGGGAATTTAGGAAGGTTCACCTGAACGTCAATGTTCCAAGGCTTCTCGTTCCAGTGTTCATGGCCCTTTGGCCTGATATTACGTGAATAATTACGGGTAGGACGATCCTTCCACTGGTACATGTAGCATACATATCCCCCAGGAGCACAAAACTTGAGGTCTTGTGGGCCACTTCTATCGCTGCTGCATGATTTCGACTGAATATCCCTAGTACAAGAGATGTACACAGGGTCTGAACGAAGAGAATTGTTGAAGAGTTTCATGAAAGCTTCATGGGCGATTTTCCTGGGAGAGATCTTAGTAAACGTATCCCAGTGAATGATGCTGGAATCCTATAGCTACTTACCTTTCAATCGAGGCCTGTTGGAACTCAGTGATTGATTTCTTGTTGAGTGAGGGGAGGTGATGGCCCGGGCGAAGAATTATGGAGATATCGGTAGCTCCCAAAGCTATAAACACAGCGTTAACGTTTCCGCTAGCCAATAAAAGAGCCGGATCTATAACTTACTAAGATCAGTGTTAGAAGCTCCGCGAAGAACATCTAAAAATGATTGTGTGAGCTTTTCCTTTGCTTCGTAGGCTGCAGCAGCCAGAAGTTTCTCAATTGCGGCTTCAGACTTCCCGCCTGTCTGGATGTGCTTGCCCGCGCCAAATATTCTCTTGAATACCTCGGAGCTTTCGCCCATTGCTGTATGCACCTCACCGCTCTCCAATACGACAACGAATGACCTAGCGTCTTCCAGGACACTTCCCCACCTCGACACAGCTCTACCAAGCGGAGAGTATGCGGGCATTCCCTCCGGTATTAGGGCCCCAATTTCCGCATGTTCCTTAGAGGCAAAGTCCAAGTCGGTCAAAGAAGGCTCATATTCGCTATTGAAAATCTTGTCAAACCTGAAGACATCATCGCCCTTGGAAGCGTGATGAGAGACTTGACAGGCTTGATCATAATAATGCTTGGCCACTTGGAGAGCATTGCGTCCTTCGAGAATGGTCCTTTCCTTGTGGAGGACAGGAGAGATGATGATCAACGCGGTTTCGATCGTTTCGAAAAACATATTTCTGACTTCTTCGGAAGAGCTATCGTGCCATCCTTTCACGGGCATACTCTTTACCAATTCGGTAACGTGCTTTGGCACATCTTGAATCGATTTCTTTTATTTTATTAGCTTTCTAACTGTAACTTTGGATAGGTATCGGGCGATGTAAGGATACTGGCAAACATACATGAATGATTGTTGCTTTCTCACCAAGAGCGGCGGCACTGGAAAGCACAAAAAAGACCCTCCTGGCCTCATGGACGTCGTGAACCTTAGCCACAACATCTTCACACCTGATGTCGCAAATAAGACGGGGAAATTCTCCCTGATACCCGCGGTAGAAGCCCTCACACCCAAGGTATTTCTGGGCAATAAAGTTGAAAAGTCCAAAGTCTTTGAAGGAAGCTTCTTCCGCACTTGCCACGGTGAACTCTCTAAGCCACTTGTCGGTTTCAGAAGTCCAGTAGTTTGCAGTCGTGGGCTGGAACTCACGAGACCTGCAGATCTTTCGGACAAGCTCGGGAGTTTTTGGTTCAGGTCGCTCAGGAGCGGCCTCGATGGCAACATTATCGTGTGGCGTGAAAAATTCCTCGGCAATATCGGGGGTGATTTCTTCGACGTCGGAGAATTCCTCAATATCGGGGGAAAACTCTACGGAATCGGATAGTTCATCGTCATCGGAGAATTCCTCGGTAGGCTCGGCCTCAAAGACTTCTGTTTCGTCTCCGACGCCATTGATCTCAATATTACCCAGGCCCTCCTCGAGGGGTGCAGTTTCTTCTTCTTCAATCTCGGCTTCGTCGACGGCTTCGATTGGTTCAACTTCGGCGGATACGTCCTCACCCAAGGATTCACCGTTGCAAGGTGGCTCGACACAAGGCTGTTCGATATAAGTCTCCTCGATATGAGACTCCTCGATATGAGACTCGTCGATATGAGACTCGTCGATATGAGACTCTTCGATATGAGAGTCTTCGATATGAGACTCCTCAATACGGGATTCCTCAACATGAGACTCCTCAATATGAGATTCCTCAGAAGAATCATATTCAACGGAGCTCTCCCCAGCAGGATCGTTGTAGATATCAATATTGATAGGATTCTCAAATCTAATACCAGATCCAGCAGGCATAAACCTGTCAGGAGATTCGAAACGACCATCGTTGAAAGGTTCCATAAAGGGGTCGAAATATTCATCGCTCTCGTCTTCTAACTGAACAGGGATTGCAAAGGGATAATTTCCGTTGACAATATCCGAGTTAGAGTTGTCATTTGCCTTGAAGGCGGCGGGTCGGTCCTGAAGGCTGCCGGAACGGTCTTTAACAACGGTGCTTTTAGTCGAGCTCACAGCTTCGGTAAGGCTGAATAGTATGCCGGCCGCAACCGCACATACCAAAGATATCTTATAAATTGTCCCCATTTGGAGGGACGTGGCTAGTTATGCTAGCAGTGAAGAAAGAAAAGAAAATTCGGAGTTTCAATGAAAAGTCCAAGACATAAACCAGAGCTGGATGTAAGGGGGACGAGAAACTTTTATACGTTTTTAGGTTCTATCTATAGAAGTGAATTTTTCATTGTGCGTGCTCTCCAAAAGAAGCGTTACGAAATATTTGCGCTCTTGATATGAACCTTTAAAGGCAATAGCCCTAGAAAGCAGTCATAAGGGAAAAGTGAAAACAAGTCTGTTTCATTTGTGACGTATTCATGTTGATGGTTAAGACTAGGCATAGGATGACGATACATTTTGGTATATATATCTGCCGATGCGCTATGAATGATGTCTAAACTAGGAGGAGAGGAAATGGGGAGAGATATAGGGACATGAATTCATAGGTACAGAGTTTCCTGAGATTTTTATCTTTCTCCAGTATTGAGGAATTAATTGGCAGTTTCATTCTCGCTCACAGGGTGAAAATTCATTACTCCCCGAAACGGTTAGTTAAAGATTAGACCAGGATCATTGACACTCGTTACGAGTGACTCGTTATGATGCATTTAAGCTAGGCGTAGCACCATGCAACCACCTTACAGATCATTGATGTCACCACCATATACGATATTGATAAAATAATTGAACCGGCTATTAAAAGTGTCGCTAGTGTACATGAATAGGTGCCTTTCGGGCTAATTATCTAGTTACGTATTTACTCGGAAACCTTCAAGGCAGAATAAATCGACCAAACCACCATCCGAGTCACGATGATCTATATCTATATATATATTCGTGCAAACAGAGTGTCAGAGTTACAAGGGAATGTGTCTACGTCTTTCCTACATATACAGAAATCTCAGATGAATTTTGCGAACGAAGATTCTCTGTTATCTCTTCGAAGACTGACGACAAGCCGCACTGGAAGACATCCCGTGGACATTCGGATCTGAAGCCTTAAAGATTTTGCATAGCAACCGGTCACCACATCAAATTCTGCAAAACCAGACCCAGAGCACATAACGCACTCTTGTTCAAAGCCGGGAAGAAATAAAGCTTGTAAACATGATAGCTATATCTTCAATGACTAATAGTGAACTGCCAATTTTTTTGGGGGGGGAATTTTCAGAAGATATTGTGGTATTGTTAAGTGTCGGAGTCGTAAGCAAACTGCCAGGTGAGTAAATCTGTAGACACCCACTGGGGGTCTACAAATCACATTTGAACGCCTACAAACCTTCAAAAATATCCACGGGATGTCTTCCACTATCCAGATTATTTTCAACTCCAGTTCAGCCATAAAAGGATATTAACGTTAATAAGAAGAAATGACCAAGCTTTTTACTTATGTCGAGGATGCGTTGCTTAGGTTAATGAACTCCGGAACCTTGCTTGAAGGTGGAAATCTACCCTATATCATATTCACAGAATCACTGTCTTGAGACATGACAGTTTGAGAATACAGTGGTCATTCATAAGTCGAAGAATCGACCCGAGGTCATAAAAACAGAGTACCGAAACGTGTTCACTAGATCCGCGGGCGCAGAGGACAGTGTCTAGAATTGCATACATAACTACATGTACATATAGTACTAGGACAGAGGTTTTGGTAATATACCCTTTTTACAGCCAAAGTAGCCATGTTTAGCTACCCGAAACAGCCACCCAACCTTATCAAAAAAATTCCAACTCTTCAAGGGCAGTTGGAAATTATTTCACGACGGAGTTCATATAATTCTAGAATTTTGAGTCTATTCTTCAGGTGTGTGCAATCTAATCTTTAAAGTCATGGTTTGAGTGTTTCTGATTTTGTATGGTGTTCCTATATAAATTTTGTGTTGCAACGGCAGCTAAAAGCTACCAAAACCTCTGTACCCCGACTATACATACATACATGTACATGTATCTGGAGGTTTTAGCACAGCTAAGTTTGATGTAGAGACCAGTATTGTACGCCTTTAGGACGCCGAAAAATATCAAACGCTCAAAAATCTCGTTTAGAGGAAATTTCCTAGGATTCAGATATACAGTTTCCGGTAAAATTATTGCGAAAGTGGGTTCTCCGTGACCCGATAGTCCTATTGGCCCTTAAAAGGTTTTTTGCTACGAGGACAGACCAACAAATCCACTCTTTTAGCTCTGACTTTCGCAATAATTCTACCGGAAACTGTATATCTGCTATTCCAAGAGAAGCTTCGCCGCTCTCGGGGATTTTCCGCCTTGTTGGGCCTATGCAGAGTTTTTCCGCCGATGGCCGCTAATCCCAAAATAGGAATAGGTCAAACGAGCTCTGGAGACCACTTCATCTAGAACGATCAAAAGAACTTTGCAAAAAACTACATGTATATACAGTAGATTCAACTCACCTAATAGCTGGTCTTGCATCCAGATTGACAGCAAATGACAGGCGAACATTTGATATAGGATAGTGGCAAGTACGGTCAAGCTTGACGCCTGTATCTGAGCTATGGAAAGCTCAAAAGCTGGGTTATGGAAAGTTGAAGCAGTAAACCATGGACGCGCCCGTTTGAGAACTTGTTTCCAATTCTGCTTCCCTACATGTCATGAGCCTCAAGCGCAACTTTCGGTGTTCAGCGGCCAGCCAGCCTACCGTCCCCCAGAACCCCAGTTAGAGATCTTCCTTGGTCGCCGAGTATCTTTTTTAAGGTCAGCTGAGTGTGTATGTCCGAGTGTTGCTGCGCAAAGTTTTCCGCTCCGAACGCCGGGAGCACCCGACACTAATAATATTAGGGTCCGATGCGTCCCGGTTTACGGGGACAATGGCCATGGGAACAACAACAACCAATCCTATGCAGGTGCTTTAATTTGGGTTTACCCCTGTGTGTCTTGAGAGGTATTATGGCCAGTAAGTCTGTGGCGTTGCTGTGGCTTTTTAGAACAAGAATACGAGAGCTAGAGGGTAAATGAGAGCGCAAATATCATAGGACTACGAGGACAGGGGATAGAGTTAAATATTGAAGCATTTGCATTTTATTGGAGACACGAAGATTAATAATCAAAACCGGGCATGCGCGTTGACGTTGGAACCTCGAGTACGAGCCCCGATGATGACTCGAAGCAGCCAGTCCGACTCAGTAGAGTAGAGGTATGTGTACTTTTTCTGGGTCTCGTCTTCAGCCTCTCCGCTAGGCTCCGAAATTTTCCTATGGTTTCCTTTAGGAAATCCCTTCCCGCTGTGGATGCTTTTCTTACTCTAAGGGATTTATTCACTGTCCGTTTCATCTAGTGTATGTAGAACCCGATTTTTTTCTTACCTTTGGTATATAAGTCCCCATCGCGTACGGGGGTGTACCACCACTTCTAGTCAAAAGTTTCTCATCAACAAAGAAAAAGGCAAACACCAAAGCAAACTCAACAAAATACCAAAAAATGCTCTCAACAAGAGTTATCACAACAGGAACTCTCTCGAAGACCCTGGGCCAGTTTGCCACTAGTGGCCTTCTGGTTCGCGGAACCAATTGCGTCCTACTACAGCAGCACAGAGCTTTCAGCTTGTCCTCGAAACCTTTTTTCAATTCCTCACAAAGAAATAAAGTTGCGGAAACTGAAGTAAAGAATTTGAAGGAGTTTCGGGAACGATCATGGCCACATCCTGTGTATAGTGAACAGGAAATGAAGGATATTGTAAGTATTTGCCTACATTATTACCTATTAAAACAATGTTCTAGAGCCTAGCTAATTTTTGGTATCAGGTAATTGCGCATCGTAAGGCCAAAGATTGGTCTGATTGGGTCGCTCTCTCCGCCGTACGCTTTTTCAGACGAGCATTTGACCTCGTAACTGGGTACAAACACGACAAGCAGGTATGAATTATCCTGAAAAATCGAGTTACAATTAGTTACTAAAGCTTGTCTACAGATTGCGTTGGGAAACAAAAACCCCGGTACCACTGATGCTTTCCACATGACTCCTGATAAATGGCTTGCCCGTTTTATCTTCCTCGAATCCATTGCAGGTTCATCGCCCCAAAGAGCATACCTACCAAACTCTAGACAGACACTAACAAGCATTCCCAGGTGTCCCCGGTATGGTCGCTGGCATGGTCCGTCATCTTCACTCAATCCGCCGCCTTCAACGAGACCAAGCTTGGATTGAGACGCTCCTCGAAGAAGCCTACAATGAGCGTCTCCACCTCCTTACCTTCCTCCATTTCCGCCAGCCTGGCTGGTTCATGCGCATGATGATCCTTGGTGGCCAGGGTGTTTTTTTCAACACTTTCTTCCTCGCCTACCTCATCTCCCCACGCACCTGCCACCGCTTCGTCGGATACATTGAGGAAGAAGCCGTCATCACCTACACTCGTGCCATTGCCGACCTTGATAACGGGAGAATCCCAGAGTGGTCAAATCTTCGTGCGCCGGACATTGCAATCAAGTACTTCAACCTCAAGCCAGACGCGGTTATGAAGGATATCTTGATGGTCATCAGGGCCGATGAGGCAAAGCATAGGGAGGTCAACCATACACTGGCGAATCTTCAGCAGACAGAGGACCCTAATCCATATGCCTTGACCTATGGCGATCGAAATAAGCCACATCCGACCAAGGGGTTGGAATTCACGAAGCCTGTTGGGTGGGAAAGAACCGAGATTACCGTGAAGCCATCTTAGTCTTCTTCCCTGCCTCTTGTGCGTCGTTTCATTGTTTTTCATTTAAAAGTATGGGACGGAAGCTGTGTTTTTGGATTCTAAGGTTATAATCTCTTCTCCTTGTACGATATTAGCAATTGGCGTTATTTTTTCCTCTTTTTTCTTCTTTTATTTGGGGGATACATGGCGCTGCTTGATCCTTTGTAGGACATAGGATTTTTATTTTAGTTTTTCGTTTTCTCTAATTATATATCAATACCCTCCTCTCTTCTTACATCATTAGCTATATCACACTGTCTTCTACTGTCATTGATAGAGACCGATACAATTCAGACACCAGCAACCAGAACAGGACAAGAAAATCACCTCGGGTTCTTAACCTTCCTAAACTCTGTCTCCCCATCTACCACCTCTTTCTCGCTCTGATCAACCCTAATCACATGTGCCAGCTCCGGACCTTTATCCAGGTCCTTCACAAACTGCCTGATTGAGTCCTCCTCTCCCTGGGCCTCGCCCTCAACTTTGCCGTTTGGGATATTCCGGACGAACCCGGTGAGCGAGTATTTACTCGCTGCGTCTACTGCGAATTTGCGGTAAAAGACACCTATCAGTGGGGGTTAGAAGCTTGATTGGGTCCAGTTACGAGAATAGAGCACACCCTGCACGCTGCCGTGAACGAGGAAGTGGATCTATTTATGATGTGCTGTTAGACCAAAACCCACTATTACCATTAAGATAGACGAGAAGAACGTACTCGTTTGATAGCCATTTCGTTTCGTTTCGGTTGTTACTTTAGTGGCTTTTTGTCTGGAAGCTTGTATGTTTGACGTGTGTCGTTTAATTGGGGTCTTTATCGCTTATCGTGTGCCAGGGTTAAAATCGCCTTGGCTGGAGACGTCATGGCATTCAGCCGCATGACATCTGACTGTACTGTGCGGCATTGATCGGGATGCACGGGTTGGTCATGATTGATGCCAGAACACATTTGAGCTTAAGCTTGTAATTTCAGTCCCGACTATGATCCCTACAGCTTATATTGGTCTTCTCGTATATACATATTATCATAGAAACCGACCAATCTCAACCGTTCATCTTACGATACTATACATGTACCTAAGTAGTTAGATACTGAATGTACTACATGTAGTTTATTACGCTTAGATCCAACAGCTTATCAACCACATATATACAAGTATTCAAGACCCATAATCCAGTAGATCAAAGCTTAGTAGGCACTCAGAGGCAATTATCACACACCCGAGGCAAAAGCTTGGGCGGAAGATCAGAGATTATCGTGAATTGATAGATAATTTGTGCCGCCAGGCCTAGCCCAGACTTCCCTCGGTTTAAACTGGTCGAGTCGTCCTGACCTACATCACCCTAGCTCGGTATCTCTCGGGATGAGTGATCGCCTGTGATGCAACGGGTGAAATTGAGAACCGCGGGTATTCACTCGGGTATGGGGCGTCTATTTTATGTGGAAGCGCTTTATTGAGGGCTTTGAAAGTCATGTATATTGGATGCCAACAGAGTGCAAATTTCCAAAAACGACAACTTGTAATCACAGTATTTATGATGGGAAGTCATTTATCCTAACATGTAAGCAGTACATGTATTCATGCTATGTTTAGTTTAGGGCAGAAAAATAAAGTCAAATTGAACCCATAATTCGCTTCATAACTGCATACAAAGTATTTTTAACTCCTACAACTATCACAAACCCATTTATGAAGCATAAACTATATAGAGGGGCCTAAAAAACAGCGTTTAAAAATGTTAATCTAATTGTAAAGCCTTTGGGTTTCGTTACTAATCTGATGCAATGGGGATAGATATGATGCATTTCACTCATGTTTCAGTTTCCACTCAGATGCTCAGATAAAATCCAGGCCAGTGAACTGCTCCCCCAACTCTTCGTAATCCTTATCTCTGTCGTTAGTTTCAAAGTAAGCGGATTGATTGCCGCTCTTCTCCTCGACCTCTCCATTTTTTCCCTTTTGATTTCCCTGAAAAGATGTTTTCTGGCTGTTCATCCGAGTATTTGATTGATAATGCTCGCGGCCTTGCTGGTTCTTCTGCTGATACCCGCCCCGGTAGCTGCCACCCCGCTGATATTTTTGCTGCGGTTGTTTCTGATGATATTTCTGTCTGTTGAGTTGTTGTGATTGCTGGTTATGACTGTTGACGTTGCCGGTTTCACCCTGCTGCCCACGCTCAAGACCTTGGAAATCCTTCCTAAACCCGGGCCTCGGCTGGGATAGTGAGGCATTGTTGTTTCCTCTACCACCTCTTCCTCTCATGTTCGAAACTTGCGCTCTACTTTTGAGGACGCCTATCTTTCGTTCTTCGCGCCAGTCATTCATTACACCATATCCATATCGATCAAAGCCATTCGCCCAAGGATTCCAGGCAGCATTGTAGGTATAGGGATACCCAGCTCTAGATAAATAATTCATGTATGCCCCTTTAAGTGCCTTTTCGTGAATATGACTATGTGGAAGCTGATTCCCCAGAGCTGTGGTGGAAATTTTAGTAAATCTCTTTTAATAGTCTTAACTATAAGTGGGAATAACATACTCAACCACCCTTTGCGTATATTGTGTTCTCTTCCGAAAAGTTCAAGTTTTCTAGCTTCTAGACCCACGAGACGACCAATAACATCATAAATCTTCACGAATTTGTAAGCTTACTAACCCGATCGTATCACGGCTTCTCACTCGGAATCCCTACCTCATCTGGTTTGTGACTGGTTGCCCTAGGTTGTGCAACAATAACATCCATATCGATACCTTTATTGATCCATGTTGGGTTCCCTTTGATTCCGACCAGACAATGCTCCATCGTGTGGTTAAGCCAGTGTCCTGTCCTACCAACAGAGATCAGACGGTTGAGATGGTCAACTTTGACCCAGGCAATTTCATCACAGAACCGATATCCCCATGCACGTAGACAGGCATGGCCGGCGTCAATGGTCCTTGCAGTACACCATAGAAAAAAAAGGCCTTCGTCCTGGAGGCTTCCCAATGGAAGATCGATGATAGCTTGATCGGGAACGGTACCATACGGGAGCTATGAGAAAATCACAGTTAGCATTGACCAATTTGGATTAAGTGACATAGATATAATATTTACAGTCATTCGAATGTCCCACGGTGCTATGAGCCAAACATGTTAGCATCGATACTTCACTTAAATAACAATAAACGTACGATCTGCCATGATAGCCCTGAATTTTCCCAGGATCCCCAAATCGAATTTAGTGATATCGCACCTAATCCATTGGGGAGGAGCACTTGCGCTCGGTGGAAAACTGACACCCTTTTTCTTCATAAAATATTAGCGATGATCATAAAACCTCCTTATGAGTTGAGATACCGCTGAGTTTGTATTATCCAGAATATCCTTTTCTCCAATACTCCAGGCCCCTTCGTCTTCATTCTTGATACTACCCAAGTTCTCCATTTCACCCGCTTTTCCCTGGAGTTCATCCATAAGCGGGTTTCCAAGAGTCATTAACTCTTCCTTATTCAGCTCTTGAATACGTTTCATAACACTCTCTGGAAACAACGGCTGATAATGTATGTAGGGACATCTGTCAGACATATCGCAAGAATCCAAAAAAGAACAGTCACCAAGTCTAACATCTGTCTGAGCATGAATTATGCGCTTGAAATGCAGTTTGTCACGGCAACATCTGTTATGCTTCGATGCAGCCTTACAGCGTCCCTCAAGTAAATGTGGACAGTGCGCAACATAGGCTGGGTGGGACGGTGTCCGGGAGATGAGACCAAGAAGGGCGAAGGATAAAGCAGGCGTCATACTACGGCGGGCTATTCCTTCCTCTTCGTCCTCTAAATATTCTTCGTCCAAAACTTCTTCATCATCTGAAGTTTCTTCGGTCGGCCCCCCTTTGAAAGTGGCAGGTAATTCAGTAGAAGAGGATCCAGTAGTCACGTCTTCAGAACTCCAACGAGGTGGATGCGGCTCTAGGCAGAGGTTCATAGGCATTAAAGAGGAATTAGTATTGTTGACTGGCAAGTCAAAATGAAAAGCCTCCTGTCTTTTCGATTGTGGATGAAAGGGTTTTGCATGGACACTTTGTTTCATTTCTCGCTCTTGGTCTTGCTGACGCTTCTCCTCCTGTATTTCCCGATGCCTTTCTTGACGTTGTTTTTCTAGACGCTGCTTTTCTTGATGCTGCTTCTCTTGATTTTGGTGTTGCAGGTGTTGCAGGTGTTGCAAGTGTTGCTGGTATTGTCGGTCTTGCTGGTCCTGGTGGTCTTGCAGATGTTGCTGATATTGCTGATATTGCTGGTGTTGCTGGGGAAACAATTGTTGATTTTCTGGTCCCCATTGCTGCCCTACAACCCGCCTTAGGTGTGCCTCATTGGCACCCACCCCAGTTCTGTTGTGTAAAATATGGTTTTGGGTCCCTGAGTTGGGTATAGAACTTCCACCAGTCTTAAACTGACTGAAATTTGGGGGAGGTACGTCCTGATACATGAGGAATTCCTTGTGCCTCAGCTGAGCATCTATTTCTGTCATAGCTACCCCCCTACTATCTATCAGTTGACCAGGGTGTAGTGGTAGACTAGCTCTAGGGTTGCCCGAAGATACACCAGGTCTTTGGTTCTCTGTATGGGTTTGACCCCTGCACAAAGATTCACTAGTTGATAGGCCTTGTGGTGTCTGGGATTTATGCGCTCGAAAATGATTCTGTATGAATTCAGGCACTGGAACTCGGACTGGAACATGAAATTGCTCATGACCTGTAGGATGTACTCGATTTATACCATCTAAGAAACTGTTTTGAGTTGTGTAGTCTTGGGAACTGAACTGCGGATTATCTCCCGTTGGCTGTGGGCCACCGAAAACAGGATCTTGATAGGCGTTAGACAAAGCCTCAGGATGATTGCTAGCGAGGGGGAAATTCTGGATTTGATCATTTGCAAGGTTGCTGTGAGTTAGGTAAGGGTGAGGGTCATTGTTCCCCGGGTTCTGTCCTCCGTGTTGGCCATTAAAGAAGTGGTCGTAACTCATCCTGAGAGTGGTGCAAAAGGGAGGACAACGATGTTTTATGATTTGTTCTCCAAAACTGATTCTGGACGTTGTCTTGCTTGGTGGGTTGGTTGGTTGATGGGTTGAGATTTTGTTTTGAACTACAAAAAGACTCCAAAAGTACCATCATGTACTATCACTCGAACCTTAACTCTAACAACGACGGGGTAAGATATTCATTCGCCATTAATTAAACACCACTTGCGCCCACCACCACCATCCCGCGCCAATATCCGGTAACCCCCTTATCTATAATCCAGAATCATTACTGGTACTTCCGCGCGATAAAGCAAAAGAGAAAAAAAGAGGGAAAACACAAACACACACACAAAAAAAAGGACACTGTAGAGTACAAACACAAATGAAAACGCACAAGTAACTTCAGACCTAAAACTCCTATCAATCACGGAATTCGCTCGACTAACAAATGAAAAGTAGTAACTACATATGATACTCAGCCGCAGTGTCTCAAAAGAGAAAAGGCAAAGACGATAGCGGACAGATAGTTGACAATGAGAGCAGATCCCACATCGATAAATAGGTAAGCCTATTTAAGGAATGTGTATATGCCCTAATCCGGTTTCTACCGGGATACATCTATACTCGCAGGCATTCTAAAAAACTCTAAATCAATCTATCGCCCTCAGTCTCGCCTCTTGTAAGAGCAGGCGTGCCCACCACCGAATCTCCCTCAAGATCAGGATCGTAAGCTGTGGAAACGGCATCATCGTCATCGTCCTCATCTACAGGTACATATGAGCTGGCACCTGGTCCCGAAATAGCGGCGGCGGTTTCGCCCCGAGCCTCCTCTCTCATCCTTTTAATTTTCATGTAATTATAGACCGCGATAGCCGTGATGGTGACGAATAAACCAGAGATATTAACGGGTGTGAGGGGGTCTTTGAAAACGATTGCAGCAACGGATATTGTCATCACTTCCTTAAAGATACCACAGATTGAAAGTGTTACAACCGAGGTGCGTTTAAGGAGTCTATAGGGCGATATTAGCGCTGTAGGAAACGCTAGAGGGATAGGGTGGTCTTACGCAAATTCGCTGCTAACCATCAAGAACGCAATCACACCGGGGAATACCAGAATCGCACATCCCTTTAACACGCCCTCCTGCGCAACTAATTCCTGAAGCTTTTCCGAAAGTGGTCCAAACCCTTCGACTGGGACAGCAATCAGGAATATGGAGATGAACATTATGGGCGCCAAGAAGAAAATACTGGAGAATGGGTTTGAGGTGGCTGGATTTCGAAGAAGTAAGATCTGTGTCAATGACCAACGAAGACCCGATAAGGCAGAGGCGAGAATCACGAGGAAAAATCCGATCGGGACGAAATGAGCTTCTGAAGCTACCATCATTAAGACGCCGATAGTCATGATGGTAATAATACCGACAAGCTTCCAGGTGAGCTTTTCGAGGCGAAATATGAAGGCAAATAAGAGGACAAAACCGAGAACGGAGGATTTGCACATTGCTATATATTGGTTAAAAAAGTTATTAGATACCCAGAGCTAAAAGAAAAGAGAAAAGAGATATGGCGGGCGAAAGCTACTAACTGTAAAAGGCAAGAGATATGAACTTTAAGCTCATGTTTCCCAAACCGATGTCTAGCCCAGTAGCTGCCCCGCATGGGCCGACTCTAGTTATATAGAACCATAATGTCATGATCCCGGCTTTCTGTCTCCGCTGCTCCTCACCACGGCTGTTCATGGAAAGTCGACCACCTTCACTAGGACGCTGATCAATTGAGGTTTTGCCGAAGAAACCGATGGGGCGAAAATGTGGAAATATGAATAGGACGAGTGAAGCTAAACAAAATTGGACTATCATATGGAGACAGGTTGTGAAGAGCGGGAAATGAAAATCGAGATAATCGGGTGAGAACATCCATTTGTTGTACTATGGGAATTTAATTAGAAGCTTGTTTTTGATCTCTAAAAGATGGGAATTTCCTTACAATTGATATCAAAAGTGAGAACAGATACCTGTCAGGAGTTCTGATTAGCCTAGACTTTCGATGCACATCTCTGGGAGCTAAGCTATGATTAATTGAAGAGAGCTTATTAACCTACCAAAGACCAATAAACAACGCGTTGATACTCATATCTTTAATAATCTTCCCATCTGCAAGCTTCTTCTCTTCGTCACTTATCACTGGCCGTTCCCCATCTGCCATAACCAACCTATCACCCAAACCGACACTCCCCTCACCACCACGTAAGTTCAATCCGCCCCGTCTTCTACGTTTACCCCTTTTACGTCTATCCGGGCTCGGAGCCCATGATTCACCCTCATCGCCGGTATGTGGATAGTCGCTCATTTCCAAGTCTTCAGATTCTGAATCGTGTTCCAACCTTGGCTGTCCAGCGTCATCGACCGGAGACCCGACCTCCGACGAGCTGAAACTATCGGTAGAGCTCCTGGCTCCAGGTCTGGATTTCGATGTAAAAGCTCTCTTCTTTTTTTGTTTCTTTGCCCTCTGTGTTCCGGACTCGGCGAAGGCGGACGAAGGGTTTGGCGAAGGTTCTGGGGGGCACGCCTTGTTTCCAACGACAGGTGGGTTTTTGGGACGGTCTTCTTCAGAATCTTCGGAGGAAGAGGAAGGATATGAGGTTGTATTTGCGGGAAAGGAAGCCGCCATGGCCTCTCGCGAGCAGGGGGGGGTTGTATGGATTATAATCTACGTATTACTTGATATATATGTAGAATCTTGCTGTTGGGTTGAGGACGGGATTGGGACTGGCTAGATCTTTTTCCCTCTCTTTGGGTGATGGGGTGCAGTTTTCTGTTCAGTCTTTATTGCGCGGATATTTACCGGAGAAGACCATTGTTATTACATACATGTACTTTAGTAGCGAGTGCGTGTGCCCTTGTTACCGGGGGGTGTTGCAGGACACCAGGACAGGACATCCCGGGACAGGACACACTCCACATAGAGCACCATACATACCCCATACCAGCAGTATCTGGCCCCAGGCCTCTAAATTTTTATGCACGGTTAGAAAGGCCCAGGTACCGGTAAGAAGATATTCCGTCTGTCTGTATTTAGCTATGGGGCGCGTGAGGATACCTACCCGAGTGGCTAGTGCCCGTTTTACTAGTATTTGTGCCACAGAAATCTAAAAGATCAAACGCGGCAGTGTTACTTTATGTAGAGTGCAGTCCTTTCCGGGTCAATGGCGAACCTAGTTCAATGGCGAATGTGCACTGATTGGGTACAAGAACCCACTGGCCCATTTGCAAGTCAGAAAGAGAGTATCCCCAATAGTACTAGGGTGTAGCGAAAAGTGATCAGAATCTGATAAGACAAATACACGTATTCACCGCAGCATTCACTTATCAGATTCTGATCACTTACCCTCAACACCCGGTACATGTAAGATTTCCTTGGGCCATTCCTACTACTCTATTGTAGATACAGTGGAGTCTCGATAGGAGCATACATATGTATGGTCGGGAACAGATTTTCGTGTGCTACTATCGAGAATATGCTTGTATCGAGAACAAATTTGCCCGTACCGACTCGTTTGGGATTGCCCAACTATATGCTACAATCATATGCTATTATCGAGAATGCTACTATCGGGACTCCACTGTACATATATCCTATAAATAAATAAAGAACTACATTTAATAAGTAGAACGCGAGGGAAAAACAACATTACAAGTATGTGGATTATGAAAAAAAAAAAGAATTAAAAAAAAGAATGATCGTAACACCAGATAGGGAAAGTGTCTAGCTGTTTTGCACAGAGAAAAACGGAAATGATTGACTCTGGATGAGACAGCATGATCTTACACAGCTGGTCTGGTTAGGTATTCGCCATTGACCCGGAAATACTGTATATCATTACATGCATCAAAACACCAATCCCTGCCCTTGTAAACAGACCCCTCCACAGCTCTCCGTTATCTGCCCCTCCTTATCCTCTGACCACTAACCCTCTCATCCTCATCAAAAGGGTATCGTGACCCTACCCCACACCCTCAAAGCTAAATACTCATCACCTGTACCATCTCCCCCTCCTTACTCTCTAATAGCCTTGACAATGCCTGGTGACTCCCCACCTCCAACCTCTTTTGATGATATCGAACTCCACAAGGAAAACATACAGCCTCTCGCTTCGGGACGGTCTGCTAGGGCGCTCGCACAGGTCCTTTCGGCACGTGCTAGCCCTGTTGTTCTCCGTGGAGAGAATGCTGTGAAACAGGCTGAATTCGAACAAGAACTAAAGACAGCCTCTGAACTGGATGACCCACTGGAGGTTTGGGTTCGCTATGTCAACTGGACTGTCGAGACATTTCCTTCCGGTAGCTCTCATGAATCCAACCTTGTGCATCTGCTCGAGCGAGTAACACGGGAATTTCTCCACGAGGATCAGTACAAGAATGACCCTCGTTACCTCAAACTTTGGATCCAATACATCCAAAACTTTTCCGACACCCCGAGAGAAGCGTTCGCGTACCTTGCCAGGCACGATGTCGGACAAAAACTTGCCCTGTTCTACGAAGAATTCGCTGCGCTGCTAGAGAGCATTGGTAGGAGACACCAGGCTGCTGAGGTTTACCACACGGGGATCCAACAGAACGCTAGGCCTGTAGATAGGCTCCTCAGGAAGAACGATGAGTTCAGACAAAGATTAGAAACCAACCCAATCACAGATGATGAACCTCACTCTCCTGCACTTGTTGCCACACGGCCGGCATTGGCAGTAAAAGCTTTTGGTGGTGGGCTCGGAGGCGGACTAGGAGCACCAGCAGAGCCCCAGCAGCAGCCAGATCCAGCTCCTGCTAAGAAACCCGCAAAAATGAAAATGGCTATCTATTCCGACGCGGATGCTGAGCCTTCTCCAAGAGCTGGAACTAAAAAGGTGACCGGCGGTTGGGATGAGATTGGCACCAGGGATCACAGGAAAAAAGAAAATACCATGGAGTCACGCCCCTTTGCCGGACAGACCATGAAGCAGGAAGGTGGAAAGAAGCCTTCGTCACAAGGTGGCAAGCTGGCGGTCTTTAGAGATACTGTGAGTAATTCCTAGACAATGTTTACTTCACTTTCCTGTCTAATTATTATATCTTGCCAATACAAGTAGAACTAATACCACCGTTCGATTCTCGATTTGTTTTGTCAGTCTTTACATCATTCACAAGAAAATATCATTCCCCCCGCATCATCCAATAAACGTCCTGAAAAAGTGGCCATAAATCTTGAACTAGTATATCCAGAAGAAGAAGGTGACGAAGAATATTCTTTCGAAGAATTAAGAGCAATAAAGAGAGGGCTTTATGGAATTGATTGGAAAACGAGACGAGAAGAGGAGGAATATGAACGTCGAGCCAAAACCCAAGCAAAAAGTCGTATGGTTGAAGAAAAAAGGGCACCATTAACAGTGAAAACGGTCATGTCTCCTTCTCCAAATAAGGGCAAAATAAAACGAAAAGGGAACTCCAGAAACGCTGAGCCTACAATGACCTTCCACACGAGAGCAGCGACAGACGAAATATATGATATTTTCAATCAACCTTTGCAGTTATCCGCCGGGCAAGATGATGAGGATAGTGAAAACGATAGTGACGAATTCGATGGAGAAGATTATACCATGGCCACCAATATTGGCGAGCAAACCGAGCAGTTTGACCCCGAAGCTGAGGGCGAAGATGACGATGGAAAGAGTGTGAAAAGTGATTGGTCTGATTTTACTCTCAGGCGAAATTTACCGGCCGAGAATGAGACGGAAGGAGAAGAAGAATTGGTAGGCGAAGAGGAACTTGTACAAGCCAAGGGAAAGATAGAAAAGCTCGCGATTCACAAGGATGAAAGGTTTGACGTCTTTGGAGAAAACAAGCTCAATATTCTAAGGGATGAACCCAAGCAAGAGGCGACATCATCCCGTCTTCCTCTCCAGAAAATGAAGATCCCCTCGCCTCCCGAAGATTTTGATCCACCTCGAAATCCATATTATGCCGGTAATCAAGCGCATGCTCAGAACAGGCTTCCATACATGACGCCCATTGTCGAAAAAACCGAGTCCTTACCTCCAACAACAATTGCGAGAAGAAAAGCAGAACATCACAAAACCCCAAGTAAGAGCCGGATGCCGGACATCATGGATAATAGTTTCTCAAGCCCGTTCGGCGAGATGCTTAACGATTCTGGCTTTGGAGTGAGCAATCTGTCACTAATCGATCCTCCGCTTGTGCCTAAAGAAAGGGAAAGGAAGCCTTTTGGTGCTAAACCTGTCACGGCACTGAAACCTGTAGCACCAAAAGAAGTACCAATAATTCAGGACCTGCAGTGTAATCCAATGGATGAAGCGCTACGAGCCCAGATATACGAAAAACTACAGCCCCCTTTGAAGACACATGAAGGGCTTTATCATCATCCTAAATCCACATTTGGAAAGTCGGCTGAAATTAGGAAGTTCTCAAAGTCTGTGGGCAGGAAGGATAGTGATAGAAACAACTCTAACTCTGGACAAGGCCCAAGCATCGACTTCTTTACAGGAGATGGAGTTAGATCTTATACCATCAAACGGGAGCTCGGCAAAGGAGCATTCGCGCCGGTTTATCTCGTCGAGAACATGATGGTGGCAGATGCAGAAGATGAAGCTGAGGACCTTGATGAGGATGATGTCGAAGGCCGTCTCGAGCTTACTAAAAGAACAGCCGGTCGGAAACGGTTTGAGGCAGTAAAAATGGAACATCCCCCATCTCCATGGGAGTTCTATATAATGCGCCAAGCCAGGCGTCGTCTTGGGGTGGCCCGCGCATCCGAATCGATTCTTAACGCCTATGAGATGCACCTCTTCTCTGATGAAGGGTACCTAATCCTTGAGTACCGCGACCAAGGCACCATTCTCGATCTTATAAATATCGCTAAAGCCGACTCGGCCGCAGGCGCGGGAGTCATGGATGAAACACTTGTCATGTTTCTAGCCGTTGAGCTCCTGCGGACCGTCGAGGCTCTCCATACGCGTGGCATTCTCCATGGTGATCTGAAGGCTGACAACTGTCTCATCCGCTTCGACCCCATTCCTGATGCTTCTTGGTCTGCACGCTATCGTCGCGATGGTGCGGATGGCTGGGACAAGAAGGGCGTGTCGTTGATCGACTTTGGCCGTGGAATCGACATGAAATTGTTCTCGCCGAACGTCCAGTTCATTGCTGATTGGAAGACGGATCAACAGGATTGTGCTGAGATGAGAGAGATGCGGCCGTGGACTTATCAGGTTGATTACTATGGTCTCGCCGCAATCATACATACCATGTTGTTTGGGAAGTACATCGAGTCCACAGCCGAGAAGGGAGGCCTGGGGGCGAAGAAATACAGGATCACGAGTACCATGAAGCGATACTGGCAGCAGAATATCTGGAACGAACTCTTTGACGTCTTGTTGAATCCCTTGCTCCACACTGGTGGAGAGGATCGGGGCGTGATGCCCGTGACTAAAGCTATTAGAAAGTGCAGGGATGGTATGGAGTCATGGCTAGAGAACAATTGTGAGAAGGGAGCTGGGTTGAGGAATACGATCAAGAGAATGGAGGCGACGCTGAGTAGAAGGAGATAGCACGGATAGGATCGGAGCAGGAGAACGAAGAACATTTTGTGTTAGTTTTAATCTTGTGTTTGGTCTTTGGAGTTCGTTTTATAGATACAAATATCGGGGGCTTATCGTCGTTACGCGTTACCTTTTTTTTTTTTCAATCCTTCGTGAGTCATTTTGTCGGCGAGATAAGCGGTCATATACCCGCAGCTAGCGCCTCTTGCCCTGCTCATCTAAATTCACAGAGATCATGTTCTAGCCTGTATAGATATATTTCCTGTCGATTCGCTCCTACTAACTACTCACTCTCCTTTTTCCCGTTGAAATAAGGGCCAGCCAGGATGTCTCGACAAGGAATTCTTGGTCATAGATAATCACTCGAACATCTCATGGCCAGGAAATCGGCGACCAAAGGGAAACGGGGCTAACTTGGCAATTCACCGTCTCTCGGTGATACTTTCCACTACCATGGCCCACTACCATTGCCTGTAGTGATGGTCATGGGGACTCAACCCACTCGGTGTTCATGCAAGACGAGCTGCCTACCCCTAGACTACACTCGCCTACACATTCTTTTAGTGCGCTGGAAGTAATATTTAATTAAGGGAGGGAGGGCAAAGTGAGCTAGACAGAGAAGACCCCAACCTCCTACGTCCACCTGGTCATAAGATGAACCAAAAGTAGCGTTTCTAACCTCAGAAGCCTAGCCACCCCCGCCGTCAAGGGGGTGATACATACGTGTAGCGATGATACTATATGTACCCACCCCCGAGGGATCAGTCAGATACGCATCTCCATCCAGCACCGCTGGGTTGGGGTTTGTCGAGAACGCCGATAGCGGTAATAACTGTTGCTGCTGCTGCGCGGGCTGTTCGGTGGCGGTGAGCGTGGGTTTTGTTTGGGGGGGGGGGGGGAACGGGTTCGTGCGTGGACGAGGTGGTTTGCGCTAGGCCCACTTTGGTGGACGAGTGATATTCTGTGATCGGGGTTGTCGGCTAGCTAGTCTACTACTATGTGCACACATACAAGCAAGCACGACACATCAAGATGCTGAGCAGTCGGAACACCTGCGGTGCAGCCAGAAGGTCCCATGTATGAATTGAAGGAAGGGACGGAAGGAAGGGTTAGGGGCGGCGATTTTTTTTTATTTTTGAGAGAGAGAGGAGTTGGAACTTGAAAGAAGTGGCCCATGTTTGTGAAAGACGTTTGATGATTTTGGGGGGGGGGGGGGGGTTAATTGTATTGAAGGTATTTTGGTCTTGTTTACACGTACATACCACTGGGATGGAGCTGAGCCTGTATACATGTAATGATGCACTCTGAACCTAGGAGAATGTTTCCTTCCAACCCCCTACTCTCTCGACAGGTTAAGGCAGGTACATGTAGGTAGGTGCATACATACACCTCACTTGTTTCGTCGGTGCTTAGTTGGTTTTATTGGATCACCCGGACGCTTTTCTACAATTTCTCTTCAGCTTCTGAGGTTATTCGGTATTTTCCTTTTCTTTCCTTCTTCCTTATAGTAATAAGAAGAAGCTTATGTATGTAAAAACCCCCGTGCAAATCCTTCTTATTCCCACAACAACAACAATTGAACGTCTAGTGTAAGTAGAAGAGCCAAAACGATAAAAAAAGGGGGGGAAAAAGGAAAAAGATATATAAACCAAGACAAATAAAAGAGAAAAACGAAAGAAAGAGAACCATTAAAAGGTAACAGAAAAATAAAGAAGAAAAAAAAGACACAAAACCCGTTAAACACCCTTCCAGAAACGACAGAAATAAAAGTGCCTAAAAAACCAATTTCAAGCATGCGTCCCACAATAAGCCAGAAACATAAACTAAAAAGGACAGGAAAAAACAACATAGGAATCGTCAAGATACATGTGTACTGCACGCAGCCCTGCCCTGCCCGCCAGCTAGATACCCCCATCACGTTCATAGCCAGAGCGATAAACACATGTCGGCTCACATGATATTATAGACCCTCTTCGCAATAAAGTAGCACAAGAAGCCAAAGCCCAGCAGTCCCACAGTGATGCACCAGAACCAGTTAAGGTTCTCGATCTCCTGCCCCGGCACCATGACGTTCATACCCCACAGGCCAGTGATGATGTTCATCGGCAGCACAATCGTACCCAGGACCGTCAGCCTCCCCAGCACATCCGCGGTCTGCTCCTGGCGCTCGTTCATCTTGATGTTGATCTGGGCGAGATAGTTTGAGTGGGAGCGCGAGAGGATCTTCTCCATGTGGTTGAGGTTTCCCACCATGGTGACAATGTGATCTAAGTTTTACGATATCAGCAACAAATCCTCTAGTTAGAAGCTCCCAGAGAAGAAGCCAGGATGGATGGATTGCAAACCCTGAATATCGCCCAAGTAGAGCCCAATCTCACTCCGCGGCGCGACCTCCCACTGCTCATTACACCTCTTCGCAAACCCCTTGATCACATCCGCCTTATTCTGCAGCAGCCTATACAGGCCCATCACCTTCTTCCTACTATCGCCCACGCGCTTCAGCATATCCCCATCACTCTTCTGCTCCGTCTCGTCCTCGCCGCCCTGCGTGCCGCCCGAGCTCTTCTTATCCGCGCCGGGCTCCGACAGATGCATCAGCAGGATGGCATCATCAATGTCGTCGACCTCCTCCTCGAGGTTCTGGATGAGCGGCGCAAACGCGTCCGTGATGTCGTCGATCAGCGCATACGAGATCCAGTCGGCCGACACCGTGATGTAGTCCTTGAGCTGGCGGATGCGCCGGCGCACGTTCGCCGGGTGCGGCGTCAGCGAGAAGTGGAAGCTGATGACGCCCTCGCGGAAGACCACAAAGTACAGGTTCACGGGATCGAGGTAGTCGTCGCTGTTGCTGTCTTGCTCGAACGTGCGGTACGAGACGAGGTAGTAGCTGCGGAAAAGCTCGACCTTCTCGCGCGTCTCCTGCATGAGGATGTCTTCTGCCGTCAGCGGGTGGATGCCGAAGGTCTTGACGAACACCTTCATTTCCGCGTCGGTGGGGTTCATGACGTCGAGCCAGAAGGTTGGGCGGGGGCCTACGCGCTGGGGTTCGGGGTTGGGGTTTGGGTGGTTCGGGGAGCGGGATGATTGCGCGGGTGCGGGAGACCCGTTTGCTGTTGCCCGGCCATTGTTAGTCTCGGCCTCTGAGTACCCATGGGTCTCATCCTCCTCCTCGTCAGAGCTATCGTCCAAGACCCGAGGCTCCGGCCTGAACAGATCCTTAAAGGTCTGGCCCGGCTGCAAGAGCTCAGAGATGGTATGCGAATGAATCGTCGCCGGGATCTCGTCGTTGAAGTACGTGAACCGATAGGGCTCATCATCCACCTCCCTATGCCAGCCCGATCTCTGCGGCGCCCTCAGTCTCCCGCCCACATAGACTGGCTCCGACGTTTTCTTTGCCCTGATCCCCTCGCTCCTCTCCTCCTTCTCATCCCTACTCCATTCCTCCAGCACCGCCAAGTCGGGCCACTCCCGGGTCCGACGCCGGGGCCGAGTACGGACCTCGCCATGGATAGTGGCAACCTCGTCGTCCGTGAGTCCGTCGTCCACAGGGAAACAAACATCCTCTTCCGCCGTCGTCTTCCGATGCCCCGGCCCCATCTCATGCGGCGGCGTCTGACAGTGCGAATCAGGATACAAGTGATCATTGCCGCCATCCTCCATGGTAATGATCGTATCGTTATCATGCAACCTACTCGGCATGCCCAAGTGGTCATTCACAAACTCACTCTGGCTGCCCATGCCCATGCCCAACAACGGCCCATGCGGCCCCAAACTCGGGCTCCCCGGCACCGACGGCGGGAAATTGACGCTCCCATACCCGCCCATACCCATACCCATACCCATACCCGCCTGCTGGGGCGGCAGCACGATCGCCGGCCGCCTCCCCACGCTCCCCGACTCGGCCGTCGACGGCCTCGACCGCTTCGGCTTCCCCGAGAACACGGGCGAGATGCTCGTCTCATTGCTCCCCAAGGACCTCGTGGACTGCGCCATCAAGGGCGTATTCTCATTGTCGCTATCGTCATCGTGATTCCCGTCCTGGTTCCACGAGAAGCGTCCTCGCTCCGCCCGCGGCGTGCGGCCCTTCCCCGCGGAGAGCAGGTTCCCCGCAGCAGCGCTGCCGCTGGGCGCACCCCCGCCAGAAGTGGTGCTGTTCAGCGGGCTGCGCTGCTTGATCCCGCTGAACGCCGACGCGCTGCTGAGCTGCGTGCTCTGCCGGCGGGGCCGCATGGACTGCTGGTCGCGGTGGTCGAGCAGCACGGAGCTGCCGATGGACGTGGTGCTCATGTTGTGGTGGTGGAAGAGCTGGGAGCGCGGGTCGAGCGGCGGGTGCGAGTGGCCGCCGCCGCCGTGGTGGGAGCTGGGGCTGCCCATTGCTTGGTTTCCGCTGGGGACGTTGAGGTTGTCGACGAGGATGTCGCCGATGATGGCGGTTGAGCCGCGGCGTGTACGGCGGCGACGCTGTTTGCCGTTTTTGCGTTTAAACGTGGGGCTGGAGGGGGGTTCTTGTTGCTGCTGCTGGTGCTGGTGCTGGTGGTGTTGTTGGAGGTGGTGGAAGTTGCTGTGACTGTTGTAGGATTGCTGTTGTTCCTGTTGCGGCGGCGGCGGCGGCAGTACTAGTACAGGTATAGGTGGTAGAGGTGGATGATGCTGGTGTTGTTCCTGATTTTCCTGGGTGCGGCTGGGGTCAATGGATTGAGGCTGTGGTTGTGCAGCAGCGGCGGCGGCGGCAACGGCAGGGGTAGCTACAGGTACAGAAGGAGAGGAAGAGGAGGAAGAGGAAGAGGAGGAGGAGGAGGAGGAGGAAGCAGAGGAAGAACGTGTACGGGAGGTAGGAGAAGGCATGGTTATGCTTATGGACTGGTCGAGATTAATACTGCTTGGGGTCACTGGACCACCGCAGTGACAGACAGAAAGACGGTCACAGCACAGCGATTCGGTATTACAAGGAGTAGTTAGTTAGTTAGATACCTAGGTGAGGGTCTGAGAGGTGAGAGGCGAGAGGGAAGGGAATGCGGACTAGACCTTCTTGATCTACAGCCCACCGATAAGTGAGACCCGCGAAAGTGAGATAGAGTCAGGAGTCCCCGGGGAAGGGGGAAGGGGGGGGGCCACCCGTGTAACGAGACTCTGTCTGGTCTGTACCCAACTGTTCTGTCGTTCTTTATCTCTCTTCTCTTATTCCCGGGACAACCCTATCATGGCGACGGGGAAGTCGTGTGGAGTGATAGACACAGCTCAATTAAAACAGAATTGCTTGGTCAGGATGAGAACGAGAATGCTGGGCAGGCAGGCCAGGTTGGTGAGCTTTTTGTATGCTGCTGCTCCTGCTGGGATGCGTGTGTAGAGGAGGAACCATCAATCTTAGAAGTCTTGGATGAGGGCTCTCAGCCTGCTTTTGACAAATTCCCCTGGGGCGTCGTTGTCGGTTGGCGGAGGTAGAGAGATATCGTCATAGGCATACTTTACACTTGCTTGGATTTCACTTTCGTGACTTCACGGCCTTGCTTGGTGCTGTAGAGTACCGGTGTGGATGTACCTACAGGAGCTGCAAGTATGTACCTACAGACAGACAGGACCTGGCACATACATGTTCGACAGGTAGGAACTGTAGGTACCGCCCACACATGTTACATCCGCATGAACCCTCCCCCCTTCCCGGCCGGCGATGAGATCCGTTTTCGATATACTTGCCATCACGTATCCTAGGTACCTACAGCATGTCTCTAAACTGTTGTCTCGTAGCCTGCTCGCGTGCCTCTCCAAATTGACCTGATCTCCCCCTCCCTCCCCTCGATGATCCTCCCACCACCCCCCCCCCCCCCCCCGGACCGTAACACAAACACGTTTTATTTTTTCTCGGTTGTCCACACCCGGCGAACCACTCCCAAAAACCTGAAATGGAAATGGAAACTTACAGGTGCTTCGTCAATTCTCTTACTCTGGGTTTTTCTTTCTTCGCTTCTTTGTTTCTGTAGTTGGTGGACCGGGTTGTGTCTCGGAGTTAGGCATGCGGGTTCATGTAAGTATCCTATTAGCACATACGACGTCAACGTTGATCGGCGGGCATGGTTGACTTGACTGGTGGAGTGCAATACATGTACCTACCGGCTACATCAACGTGCAACGTCGACGAACAAGATGCCCGATTGATGAATGGAATACCTGCCTAGGTCTGAGGCCTGGTTTTAGTCGGATATCCATTAGGGTACTCTACCAAGGTGAAAGCCGAGAGGCGGGAACTACATGTACCTCCTCTCCACTCACTCACTCCGAACAACCCAGCATATAATACAATCCAATTCAAGCAAATTCAAGCCAATTCGCGACCACAGAGCTCAATTCCCCCCGCGCCAAACACCCTACCAAACAAACACAACTGTCCTGCCCATTCAATCCATTCAACGTCCTTACGCTTGCCCATACCGTGATTGGCCGGCCAAGCGGTAGTTGTGTGGCCGTCGGTAGATTTTGCCTTCTTGCGTTAGCTGTGTCCGAGTGGGAAGCCACCTGCCAGACAGACAGATGAAGAAGAAGAAGCTGGTGCCGTTGACAGGTAGACAGGCTGGCTGGCTGGCCGCCTTGTGGATGACTGCTACATAATGTGGTTTTCCCCTGGGCGACATGTACTAGCTCAGTAGAATAGAATCTGAGGAGAGGGCATTGGCGCAAGTCGATTGAAGACATTGGCCCGGCCCCCGCGAAATGCATGACCGCCAAGCTAGCGTTGTGGGTAATGGGACTGCACAGGTCAGGTACATTCACAGCATATCACTCGACCCGAGAAGGGACTACCAACGTTAACTACCAGCCAGATACATGTAAGTATGACCACAGCAAGAGTCTTCCCAAGCCGAAATTTGGCCAAACTCCGGTGCCAATGCAGTTTCTCCGCACCGCTCTATTGCCCAAGTCGGCCCATAGGACAATTACAACCTATCTTACAGGGCGCTGGCAGGGTGGTGTGGTAGACCGCCACCGTCCTAAGCCCCCCGCCCCCCCAGGCACAAATCTCGACCCAAGAACTCCAGGGCACCAACCCACAACTGGTCGAAATCTCTCTCATGCATTAGCGTGGCCTACCCAGGAAGTGACCGACACCAAATAAAAGCAGCGTCGTGCGAAGTTTATGGCACATCCGCGCGTGCTTCAAAGACTTGCAAACGCGGCGAGCTGGCTTACCCGGGCCCAAATTTCGAGAGCACATGCTATTTATGCATGAGAGAGATTTCGACCATCCATGGCCAGGGGATAAACCATGAGCAGGAACCACCCCCCACTTACTCACTCACTCACTCACACCCACTCACCCTCCACATGACCGTGCCAGCCCCCCTCTCCACCCCGCCTCGCCTCGCCCCGCCTAGCCCCGCTCCTCCCTGTCCCGTCTACGTCTCAGCTAAGCTTTCCCCCGCACCCACGCAGGTCATGACCCCGCGAGAACAAAAAAAGCTTGTTTCCCCGATCCGCGTCAGTTTGTGCGAACTACAAGGATCGGGTCAATAACAAGCTTTGGGCTGCATGAATATAAATACGCCCCGGTGAGTCATGGCTGTGCTGTGCTGGGTTTCACGGCGGCGGGGTACAAGGCGAGTGGGTAGTACGGCGGTGGGGTGCGGGTGGGTGGGTGGGTGGTACGGTGCCGTGCGGTGGTGGTGGTGGCGGCAGTGAGTTTATGCGGTGCCAGTGGCGGTTACTTTTCGGGATATAGTCCGAGTGATAAAATATGATCCATCACATCCAACCCTGCAGTTACAAGTAGTCCTGGGGAAACAACACCACCCGCGAACAAAACAGTTGGGGGGGGGGGGGCTTATAGAAACCCCAATACACTATACTATAAAAGAATATGTTCTGAAAATGAGCGAGAAGCCACGATAACTGCTCAAGCTGCGGTCACGGGCCAGAGATCTGATCGATATCACACTTAACCTACGAGGAGAGGAGGGCCAATAATCTCCAGAGGAAAAAAAAAATGTCATTAAACACAAAAAGTCTTGCTGAAGAATGTGCTTTTCAGGGTGGTGAGTGCCATTTATTACACACAACGCCAGTATAGACTCCCACCCCTCGGGATTGAACCCATGACCTACTGATGGCCATGGGGACTCAACCCACTCGGTGTCCTCCGTTGACGAGGCGTCTACCGCTAGATCACACTCGCCCACACACTTTTCAGCAGCCCGGAAGTAATATTTAAGGGAGCGAGGGCAAAGAGAGCTATGGCAAAGCGAGCTACTTGTACATAGGGCGACACCTAACCCTGCAACCACAACGTACATCATGACCCACTGGCCACCCTTTTATTTTCTTTGGGCTCCCCGGATATCTATGTAATATAACACGGCGCTTCAAAGCGCCCCAAACGAAGGGGTCATCTCTTCGCAGATCAGGGCCTGGATATATTATATATGATATTCTTAATTACTGCGAGAACACGTTTCCACCACCACTTTTGTGCTGCAACCTCATCCCCACGCACATACCTGGCGGAAACTTTATTCTCGTCCGTAAGTAAATACCATGCGTATGTAGTCGACGAAATAACTATATAAGTAACACCATACAGTCCCCCCAAGGACCGAACATAACCCTTCCGCAGACATTAGTGAGGATCAAACGGCCGGCCACACCGATGATTGGGGCGGGTCAGAGTGGACGGTTAGGGTAGCCCGAGCTGCTCGATGGACACGGACCCCCCGTTTAATCCCCGGCCGGCCCGCTACCCTCTTACCTACTTTACCGTTTTGGCAAGGGCAGTCATGAGCTATCACTCGATGCCCCCAAGCTTCGTGGACTCGGGGACTGATTGGTAATTCATTCGTGTATGCAGCCCGGAGGCTATGTCGTGAGCTCGGGACAGTGATAGTATGCAGAAAAGGGGGGGGGGGGGGTTAGAAGACAGTATATGGGCGTAGTATGGATAGTGAGCGGTGGGGTTGGGCGCAGCGAGGTGTGGCCGGGCCTAGGGTGCAGGCCCACTTCTCTCCTTTTATCACCCTTCTTTCTTCACCCTCCTCTCTCACTCTCTCACCCTCACTACTACTACAACCCACTTCTACTTCCACTTTCCCCCTACCTCACCCCAGCCGCCGCACCACGCGAAAACACCAGAGCCGTTGTTTTGCTATATGAAATCTTGATATATATGTTCCAATTTAACCAACTACATATCATATACCATATTCCACCAATGCTAATGCTAATGCCAAATACTACGAATTACAACTACCATAATACAAAAACCCACTTGAAACAGAACAGAACAGAACAGATGCTACTAACATGTAAGTACCCCACCACCCAAATCTAACGCCGCTGAGATCCACGTCGACCACTTGTACAACAAGCTACCACAGATCAGAAAGAAACGAAAAAAAGAAAAGAAAAAAATGCACCCTTCCCCCAAAAAGTACTCTCTCACACAATCCTACAAATGCAGCTCCATCCAAATGCATAATATACAATCCAGTATATAACCCACCCGTCTACAACATCTAAACCACCACCCCCCTCCCCTTCCATCCGCCCACCCCCCTCCACGCCCACGCCCACCCCACCAGCGCCAACGCCACACTCCCCGCCATCACAAAGAAGCTCGCCTCATAGCACTCTCTCCCCCAGCACACGCCATTCCTGCCCGCATGGCTATCATATCCGCGCGCAAAGATCATTCCAAACAGCGACGCGGCAAACGCCGGCGCCATGGTGACGATGCCCCAGTTTGTGCCAAAGTTCTCGGTGCCCCAGACTACGCTCACGACGGTGGGCGCGAGACAGAAGACGGCGCCGTAGCCGGCGCCGATGAGCGATGAGACGACCCAGAAACGCTCGCCGTGCTCTTGGACGAAGCCGAGGGCGACGAAGAGCTGGCCGGCGCACATGAGGAGCGCGAAGAAAAAGAGGAGATTTAGGCGTGAGCAGGTAAATTTACGGCTAGACGAGGAGGAGGGGGCATTGGAGAGGGTGGGTGCGAGGTAGTCGCTGAGGAGGCCGGCAACGATTCGCGCGCTCGTGGAGCACAAGGCGTAGATGGAGACGTGGTTTGCGGGGTCCACGGGGTTGAGTCGTCCCATGGCTGTCTGCGGCGGGTACAGAGTTTGTATAAGGGAGCCCATCTATTATATCACAACAATTAGTATCATGTCCAAAAACAGCTACCACAGGAAGATGGCTCGTCTTACATTATTGATGAAAGCCTCTCCAGGACCCGTCGCCAAAAAAAACCCGGCAGCAAACCACCACATGGTCTTATCCTTCAGGAACTCCTTGGTCGCACGGTTAATGATGGACTTCTCCTCCGGCTCCGGGAACTCCGCAATGCCATCGACAGTGTCCACCGCGCCATACCCACCTCCCTCACCCGCCTCCAACAGGCCCTCCCTCTCCGCCGCCTTCTCGTCAACCACAACCAGGCCCATCCCGCCCACCAGCCCGATCGCCACCAAAAACACCGAGAAGAACAGGAACGCCTCTCCAATCGCCAGCTCCCCCGAGAGCTTCTCGACGAAAACACGGCTCACAAGCTGCGACAGCCACAGGCTGCTCAGCCCAAAGGCCGCAATAGGCAGCGAGAGCGCGACACCCCTGTTTCCGGTAAAGTTCTTTGCGCAGGTGGTGACGCCGGCAAAGTACATGCTGCTGGTGCCAGAGCCGATAAAGACAAAGGCAAGCACCATGCATTGATACGGCAGCTTGTGCAGAAACGCGTATGCGGCCAGGAGATAAGCCGGCCCGAACAGCCCGGACGATAAGACGCTCAGTCTTCCCGGGCCCATCTTGTCACAGATGTAACCGAACAGCGGGACTCTAATAACAACAATTGGTCAGCAAAAAAGAAATTAAAGAAAACGAAAAAAGTCCAACGCCGTTATATAACTGCTACTACTGTCTTATCCGCACCTGTAGCTTATGTATACACGTGTTGTGGAGAGTGGCATGAGCAACTCACGGGAGGTACATGCCGAGCTCGCCCGCCATGGAGATGAAGTTGACCTGAGTCTGCGAGTATCCGAGACGATGCTGGAATATTGGGGCCCACAGGGAAAACAGCAATATGCTACCGGCGCACAAGCTACACACAAAAACAATGCTCCTATTAGCTTTCTCTTTCACACATGTTTTAATTAGATTCAGGGGAGAGAGAGAAAGAGAGAAGGCTAGCTAGCTTACCAGTTCATGATCGAGGAAGCAAACGCAATCCACTTGCGGGTCGCCATTGGCAACGAAGTGGACGAAGTGGAGGAGTCCATGCTGTTCACCGAGGCTGCTGTCTTTCGGAGCTGGGCCTGCTGGGCTTTGATGCGGGCAAAGCTGTCTTTTGTGGGGGAGTGAGCTCTGTCACCCATTGTTATGGAATGGCTGGCTGGCTGGTTGTCTGGTATGCTAGAGGATTCAAGAACGTGTAGTCTAGATAAAAGCTATGTAGATAAAGATAAAGAGGCCACGACACGACGAGTCTAAGGTAAAGAGGGAGAGAGCAAGAGAGACAAGACAGCTCAAGAAGAACAGCTGCGTCAGTAGCTACTTAAGAGTCAGAGGGAACGGTACACGGGCTATATGTAGTATTCTATTCCATACCATACCTACCAGCACCGTGCAGGCACAACCCCGGATTACGGACGGAAAGGAACCTCGCGATTGGGGAAGCTGTCTCTGTCCACCACCATCACCCCTGTGCTGCTGCTCCTACCCCCTGTCAGATCCGCCGCTAGAGTAGATACCTCGTGCGAGTGTGTGTGCAGGCAGGGGGGCTTGGCGCAACACTGGGTGAGATAAGGTTGTGCGATAGGGGAGTGATTCTGTGATCAGCACGGCTTTTCAAACGACGAGATGCAGTAGAGCTAGCTAGTTCTGAAAATAAAAATAAACAATTCCCACTGCGAAACGAAAAAAATTGGGTGTAGAATTTTTGGTCTTGTGAGAGATGGATGGCAGACAGATTATGCAGAAGGAAGCTTGAGAAGCTGCGTTATCAATTGATATGACGGCCAGGGATTTTTATCCGGATGGTAAATAGATATGAGTCTACAGGTAAGTAGGTAGATAGATTCATTCATCTGGAGGCTGTAGCACGTCATGGATGCAGCAGTTGTCTGCTTTTCTCGACCCAATTACATTCTCTACTATTGGGATTGCGCAGCGCAGTGCAGTGCAGTTCAACGCTCCCCCAACGGCCTGCAGGGAACCGATGGACTGGCTGCCTGCCAGAGCAATAACCACCACTTTATGCTTCTCCATAGCAGAGCGTCCTCTAGTAAATGGTCCGGATACAAACTCCAGCAACTCCAACTTCAACCATCACCAAAAGCTAGCCAAAACCTGCTTGCTTCCAACGCAGGTATGTACATCTCTCAGTCTCACCACGACATAGCGACGACACACACGGCGCACACACCCTAACGGAACGGATCTGGATTCAGTTGCAACTTGCAACAATCACCTTGTTCTTGTTCCCTGGTTTGAAAGCGCATGAAACATGTCTTAGATCCCTCCCATCCTCTCATCCCATTCCCCATCCACGTCATGGCAGACAGCGAACTAACACCATACTCTAAGGATAAGGGGGTTCCGTTGCTCCAAGGCGAGAATAGGGCGGTGGACATGGGATGCCTGTCTGTCTACGAGCGAATGGAGTGTGTCTGTGCATAGTTCATAAGACATCACTCGGCACACTCCATCTCGCCATCTACCATCTGCCATCTGCCATCTACCACCCCGTGAAATATATCTGTAAAACTGGAAAACCGCCGGTAGGGTAGAGAGCCGGCCGCGGCGTAAGGAAGCAAGGCTAGAATAGAAGCATGGAAGCAAGGAAGGCTTATCTATTGGCCCTCCCCGGCCCCGTTATCGCCCGCCCGCCGACCGGCGACCGCTTCTCTCAACCTGCCCTCCACCCACACTGTCGGTCCACTTACCGACATAAATAGCTTAAACTCTAAACCACCACCACAAACCCTCGAGTACTCGTAATTTCATAGCGTTTGTGAACATAGCTGGGTCTGCATACACCAAAATCTGGAGCCTCATGCAGGATTTTGCGGGTATGCAACCCAGTTGTCTTCACAAACGCTATGAAATTACGAGTACAAAGGCAAATTAAGAAAGGCAGAAAAAAAACCCACCATGTTTCTCGCCCATTACCACCACCGCGGAGACGCAAGCTCAAGGCGCGCAGCGCAGCGCAGCACTCACTGACTTGACTGGCTGGGTAAATTGCGCGCCCCCAGTGAATATATCCGGCCTGACCTACCTACCTAGTGTTGCTTGACACCCCCCCCCCTTACCTCCCTCCCCCACAATTACCCATTACCCAGTTGTCAGACAGACAGACGCTACATACCACACCGACGACTCAACACCAGAACGAGCATACTTACACATTTCCGGGATATTCATTATAACGTACATACAGCCAACTAGCTCCGACGCAACGCTACCTCCCAAACAGCAAACCGCAAAAAAGAAGAAAGAAAATGGAAACCCTATAACAATAATAATAATAATAATAAGAGAGCTAAAAGCTATATGCCAGACTAAATGCCAAAGAGAAAAAAAAATACGAATTACAAGAAACGGCTGGTGTACACGGCGATATCAGCGCCAGCGCCCGCGCCCGCGCCCGCGTCCGCTGCACCACCACCGGCGCTGGCGCCGCTCTCTCCTCCTAGTCCTCCTCCTAGTCCTCCGCCGGCCATACTCTCTGCTTTGCGTTTTCGGAACTGTCTGTGGTTTCCAGTCTCCGTTAGCCCACAAACACACTCTCAAAAACTGCCACATACACCAGCGGAGGAGAGAGAACAGGAAAATACATACTGCGGAATCCCCGCCATCACCAACATATTGCTGCTAATCGCCTCACTCACAGCCACCTCCTTCCCCATCGGCGTCTTCAACACACTGACCGGCAAGCTCCTCAGATACCTATTCACCTCCGCCAAATACTGGATCGCCACGCGATGCCCAATAATCTCCGTCACCCCCTCCCCCACCGCCGCACCCGCACCCACACCCGCACCCGCACCCTCCTCCTCCTCCTCCTCCCCCTCCTCCCCATCCTGCAGCTCCATCCCCTCCACCCCGCGCCGTAGGATCCCCGCCGCAACACACTCATCCACAATCCTCACCACATCCGGCACCTCCACCTTGCCGCCCTCGCACCCCGGTATCTCCTCCTCCGCGCCCCAAAACGCCTCCATGACCTCCCGTGCCAGCTCCTGCCGCGGCTGCAGCCGCTGCAGCACGCCCAGACACGCCCGCCGCTGCACCTCGACGTACTCGGCGGGCGAGCCGCCGAGATCCATGAGCGCCAGGTCCTCGCAGATGGCGGCGGCCTGCCAGCACTGCAGGACGATGCGCGGCGGGATAGCGCTCCACGCGGACGTGATGATGTCGATTGCCTCGAGGGTGTTTATGCGCTCTCGCTCGCGCCTCGCGCCGTGGTGGTGGTGGTGGTGGTGGTGGTGGTCGAGGAGGAGCTCTGCGCACATCTTGCGGTAGGTGGCTTTGAAGGCTGTGACGATGCCCTGGCTGAGGGGCTGCAGGAGGGCCGCCGTGTTTGTGGGCAGGAAGAAGAGCGTGATGTTTGTGAGGACGGGCGGCGGCGGGCCCTTGTAGTTTGGCGGGGGTTTCGTGGGCGTTGGGTAGGTGGGGCAGTTTTCGCAGACGAGGGCGATGCGGCGCCGGGCGTCGCGCATGTCGGCGTCGAAGGTGCGCAGGAACTCGTACCAGAGGTCGGTGGGCAGCGAGGTCTTCTTGTTGTAGCGGTAGGTCACGGGCAGGTTGGCCGGGTTGATGCGCTCCCGCTTGAAGACGGCGGGCGTGCGGATCTTGCTCATGACCGTGATGCGCCGCTTGTCGGTGCCGTCGGCATTGACGCACAGGAACACCGTGAACCGCCCTTTCTCCTTCTCCTTCTCCTTCTCGCCCCCAGCACCCGCCCCATCACCCCCACCCCCCGCCCCCGGCGCCTCCACCCCCGGGAGCTCCAGCTGGCGATCAAAGTGCAGCCTCGCCTCATCACAATTATACCTATCCGCCGGCGCAAACTGCCTCAACCCCACACTCAAGCTCGCGCGGTGGGTCGGTATGGCCGCGGCGTCGAACGGGCCGCCGACCTGGCGGTGGCGCTTGTGCTGGTCGATGTTGTGGCGCTGCTTGAAGCCCTGCAGCCAGCCGCTGCTCATCTCGAAGCTGTCGTACGTCTCGCGGCACTCGTCGGCGCGGCCCGACGACAGCCGCTCCTGGATGCGCTTGCCCTGCGCGCGGATGGCCTCGTCGGTGATGGGCTGGCGCGCAGCCTCGGCCGCGTCGATCCAGGTCACCAGCAGGTACTCGAAGATGGGGAACATGGCCGGGCGCGACTTTTTCTTGTTTGCCTCTGCGCCTGTTGCACGGGGGGTGGTGAGCTATGGGGTGGGCGGGCGGGGGAGAGGTGGGGAGAGAGAGGTGGGGAGAGAGAGGTGGGGAGAGAGAGGTGGGGAGAGAGAGGTGGGGAGAGAGAGGTGGGGAGAGAGAGGTGGGGAGAGAGAGGTGGGGAGAGAGAGGTGGGGAGAGAGAGGTGGTGGACATACATACCTTCCGGCGGGCCCTGCTTGACGGTCTCCTCCCAGCCCTTGAGGTGGTCCGCGAGGCTCGAGATTGCGAGCGGGCGGCCGTCGCGGCGGCGCGGGCACAGCGGCAGCTGCGCGAACTCGGCGAGCTTCATGGACGGGTGCTGGGCGCGCAGGCGGCATATCTCGTACTTTTGCAGCTGCGTGAGGCCCTGGCGCTGGCGGGGCGGCATTTTTTCTTTTTTTTTTTTTTTTTTGCAGGCTCTCTATCTCTAGCTCTATCTCTCTCTCGTTTTTTTTTTTTTTTTTTTTTTTTTTTTTTTGCTTTCTCTTTTCGTTGGCTAACTAGGTGGGAGGGGGGGTGATTGAGAGAGAGTTGGTATCGTATCGTAGGTGCACGGGTAGGTAGGATAGGTAGGTAGGTAGGTAGGTAGGCAGTAGGTAGGTGTTCGAGAGGGGAGATAGACCCGTGGAGGTTTTTGACTTTGGGGGGGGGGGGGGGGATTGATTTTTGCGGACAATTTCGGGGAGCTAATATCGCCTATACCGGAAATTAGCTATACCGGATGGGATGGGATGGGGTGGTGGTGGTGGTGGTGGTAATGTCTTGGCGGTGGGCTCGGTTGGCTGACGTCGTCGACAGACGAATGAGTGAGAAGAGAAAGAAATTGACGATGATGAGAGTGATGATGATGATGAAGAAAATGATGAAGATGGAGATGGAGACGAAGATGATGGGATAACGGTACCAGACCACTCGCTCTGCCCACTGACTGCTTTTCTATCGACGTGTTTCTGCGCAGGAGCGTTGGACAAACAAACCGTCACAAATTAAAGCGTCACGCAACGTCGACGCTCTGCCGTGTGACGGGCGGTAGAGATGGAGCATATGTGTTCCGACTGGGGCGCTGCTGCTGGGTGACATCTCGTCACAGCTCTGTCTGACAGCTCTTGGAGTAGAATCAGTAGAGAGATAGACGTAGACATAGACACAGACACACAGAAACACAGAAGCACAAGAGACACAGACAGAGAAGAGTTCCTTTTTGACTATCTACAAAGCGACCATTTCCATTCCTCTCGCAACCCTCAGAGGATTGTAAAAAAAAAAAAAGCAGATTACACCAAACCCATCCATCCCCCCCCCCATCCATTGCACATCCCATGCAGTCCACAAAGTTTTTATATAAAAAACAACCACAATCGCTGTTTTTTTTCCTCATTACATTTTTCCACCCCCCCCATCCACCATCCACCACCGCCCCGCTCTCCTCTCCATCTACTTGCGGTTCTCCATGACATTCAGCCCCAGCCCGTCCGTGTCGAGGAAGAGCTTATTGCGGCCGCCATTCTCCTGCAAGATGGCCGCTATGCTGCGCGCATTCTCAATCTTCTTGAGCTCGACGTACGACTTTGACTTCTTGATAGCGTCGCCAATGAGCTCTGCGGAGCGCGCCTCACCCTGCGCGCGGACAATCATGGCCTGCTTCTCCTGGCGGGCCTTGTCGACGACGAAGGCGGCCCTCTGCGCCTCCTGCTGCGCAACCTGCTTGGACTCGACGGCGGCCGTGAACTCGGGGGAGAAGGCGAGGTGCTAGTGGTGTGCTACATGTCAATGATTGCTTTCTATGTGGAAGGGAGGGGAGGGGGGGAAGGGGTGGGTTACGGTCAGCGAGACGTCGTCCAGCAGGATGTTGAAGCGGGCAGCACGCTTGACGAGGTTGTCGCGCACGAGGCGGGACACGGACTCACGCTGGGTGATGAGCTGCGAGGCGTTGAACTGGGCGACGACGGACTTGAGGACCTCGTTGACGATGGAGGGGAGCACGCGCTCGTCGTAGTCGGTGCCGAGCGTGCGGTAGATGGACGGGAGGGCGTCGACGCGCGGGCGGGACAGCACACGGCAGGTGATGTTGACCATCTGCAGGTCTGATATGGCACTGCGGGTTAGCGGATGCGGGAGGGAAGGGAGGGGGGGGAGGGGGAGGGAAAAGTACCCTTGGTGCCGGTGAGGGAGGCGACGTTGCGCGGCTTTGCGCGGACGTCGTAGGTGATGGGCGTCTCGAGCCATGGGATCATGAAGTGGGTTCCTGGGGGTGAGCTCGGATTAGTAAATGGGCTCATTCGACACATAACTGATTCCGTGAACCTCCGGAGAAGGCCACAATGGCCGCTATCAAAGCGAGAGGCAAGAGGTAAAGATGGTCTAGCAGTTATACCTTCATTGTAGATCTCCTTCTTGACACCTCCGAGACGGGTGTACTTGATCGCACGGTGACCACCGTCCACTATCGATTGCCCCACATACGTTAGCTATATCTACCCTTCATCTCATCTCATCCTATCTATTCCTATTGTCTCACTCTCTCCCTCTCCCCACCGCCATCAAAAAGGCCACAGCCATACCGTTGAAGATTGCACTGTTAAAAGTGATAAAGGCCCCGCCGAGCAGCGCTAGCGCAGCGCCCCCACCAAGAACACCCTTCGGCGCACCTCTGCCACCGCCCTGCTGCGACGCTCGCGAGATGGCACTCTGGATGCGTGACCAGGCTTCGCGGGGGTTGTTGGGATCCATTGCGTTTTATGTTGTTTTTTTGTTTTGGTTTGCGGTGTAGAGGGGGGGGGGATTGATTGGTGGTGGGACGTGCGGGTGGGTGAAAAATGATGTCGAGATGCAGTTGCTGTCTGTTCGGCAAATGGGATGGGATGGGATGGGGCGGCGGTGAGGGGATGTACCCGCGTAGGCGATTATCGTGGTATGAAGGGGTAGATAACGGTTGGCGTTGCCGAGAGTGGGATGGATGGATGGATGGATGGGAACGACGACTTTGGAGGGGTCGTTCGTTGGTGGGGGTTTGTTTCACAACGCTACTTGGGGAGAACTACATGGCTGGTTTATTGTGGGCTCAATTATCGTGAAGCCATTCGTCATAAGGTCTGGCAGAAAGCAAAACAATTTCTTGGGATGATAGCATTGACACTTGCATCCAGGTAAGGCATTCAGGCGAATCTTCAAACAAGAGCTTGTTGTCGCTGTGGGCTAGTCGGAAAGAAGCTGAACGCTAGGGTGCTACACAGAAAGAACAGCAGCATTGAAGGCACTGTGGACACAAGGTATATTCACGCTTCAAGCCCATTCAATTCTTGCAAGAATATCTCCACAGCCATGAAAGAAAGAAAGAAAGAAAGAAAGAATATAAATTAACGGCACCTGTATCTCTTTCAGGAGCCAATTCCCAATCCTCACAGCTTCTCAACCGACCGAGTGATGGCCCATGAACGGCCCAGAGAAGCTACAACCCCGTGAACCCCGACCGAACCCCCCTTCTCCCTCCCCGCAGCAACGGGGACTCTCTCTGCCTGAACCGCCTGGAATGTCTGACACGCAGCCAGACGTCTCCTCCCCGCGCCATCCTCATTGCGGACGTTCTTCACCCCAGACACCAGAAATCACTCTCTGTTAGCCACCCGCACGGATCCAATATTGCAATACACGCTCTCCCGCACACACGCACCCTTAGGTCGTGCCTCTCTCTTCCTCCTCCACCAACATGCACCCAGACAGAATCGCATCAATCATGTCCGGCAACCCCAACTTCTCCACGGGCTCCTCCCACTTCACCACCGCCAGCTGCATCGTCTTCGTCGGCAACATCCCCTATGGTAATCTCTCTCTCTCTCTTTCCCCCCCCCATTAAAAAAAAACCCCCCAAAATCACCACACCGATGAAAAAGAAAAAACCCCACTGACAAAAAACCCCGCAAGAAGGCCTCGCCGAAACGCAGCTCACCGAGATCTTCAAGTCCGTCGGCCGCGTCGTCTGCTTCCGCATGGTCTACGACCGCGAGACCGGCCGCTCAAAGGGCTACGGCTTCGCCGAATACATCGACGCCGAGACGGCCGCCTCCGCCGTCCGCAACCTCGACGGCTACGACGTCATGGGCCGCAAGCTCCGCGTCGACTACTCGTCGCAGGGCTACGTCGGCAAGGAGGGCTACCCGGGCAGAGACAACGCCGCCAAAGACACCGCCGCCGCCGCCGCCAATAAAGACAGCGGCAACAGCATGTACCCCATGGGCTTCCCCAAGGACCTCGACTACCCCGACATCCGCCCCTCCTACAACACCGACACCGGCTACGCCCACGGCAGCAGCCTCTCCGGCAGCGTAGGCAGCAGCGACAATGGCCGCTTCACCCTCCAACCCTTCGACATGGGCGGCCCCAACCTCACCAGCATCTCCCTCGCCTCGCCGACCGCCGAGAACACCCCCACCACGCCCTCCGCCGCCCTCGCAGCCTTCATCGGCTCGCTCCCGCAGGGCGTCGACACCCACCCGAACCTCAGCACCGCGGACTCCATCTCCAAGACGCTCTCGCAGATACCCGCGCCGCAGCTGCTGCTGGCCCTCGGACAGATGAAGGAGCTGATTGCGGCGGACCCCGTAAAGGCCGCTGAGACGCTGCGCTACTGCCCGCAGCTCAGCCTCGCGCTGTTTCAGGCCATGGTGCTCATGAACCTTGTGAAGCCCGAGGTAGTCTCGCAGATCCTGGAGGCTAGCACGCCCGCGTATACCACCGCCGCCGCCGTCACCGCCACCACCAACCAGCAGCAGCAGCAGCAGCAGTTCCAGCAGAACATGCTCCAGCAGCAATACCTCCTCCAGCAGCAGCAGCAGCAGCAACACATGCGCCAGACCACCCCCCAGCAGCAGGCAGGCTTCTACAACGCCCACGCCCACACCCACACCCACACCCACGCCTACCCGCAAGCCCCACTCCCCATGAACCTCGCCGAGTTCCCCGAGTTCCTCGCGGCCCAGCAGCAGATGCAGGTCGTGCAGCAGATCCAGGCGGCCGCTCAGGCCGCTCAGGCAGCACAGGTAGCACAGGCAGCACAGGCAGAGGAGAAGGCGGAGGAGAAGGCGGCGCTGCTGCAGAGGGTCAAGATGCTGACGCAGGAGGAGATTGCGCGGCTGCCGGCGGAGCAGGCAACGCAGGTTGTGTTGCTGAGGCAGAGGCTGCTGGCGGAGGCGGGGGCGGGGGCGGGGGCGGGGGGGCAGCAGCAGCAGGGTGGGTTTTAGGTTTTGGTTTTTTTTTTTCTTTCTTTTCTTTTCAAATAGGGGTTATCGTTTTTTTCAAGTTCTTTTCTCTGTGTGGGTTTGGGGGGGGATGGGATGGAGTTATATCTTAGGGTTCTCTTTTTTTTTCTAGGGGGTGGGGGGGGGGGGGTGGTAATAAGTTTGTGTGTGTGTTTTGTAAAACTGGGAGGGGTTGCTTCATGGGGTGTCACTCGGCGTATATAGATACATAGGCTACACGGCACATTCTGGCTCTGGCTCTGGCTCTGGCTCTGGCTGCGGGAAACATGACGGATAGATAATAATACCACTCATAAATAATAATAAATCTTACCCACCAACCAACCTTCCCTCCTGCTCCACCACACCCGTGAAGAAGGGACATACATGGCACACGGCCCGCCTAGCTCCACTTCCCCTCACGGGTGTATCCATGCAGCCCAAAGCTTGCTACCACGCACAAACTGCCGCAGATCGGGTGTTGCCCTCGCCCCCGGGGGGGGGGGGGGGGAGGGGGAGGGGGAGCGAGGAGTTGGAACTTGAAGAAACCGCACGGGAGAGAGAGTGCCTGTTGCTGTTGCAATGAGGACTGACTACATGTACGTACGGGGGGGCTTGATGTGATAAATCATATCCTATCACTCGGACTTACATCCATGCTGAAAAGTCTTAGGGGTGCGTTTGAAGGAACGCCCGCCCAGTGATCAGGAAACGAAACCGCAATCCCTGCAAAATTATATTTTGGGCGAAGAAAATTCGCAATATGCCCAAATCACGGCTTGGTGAACCAAGCAGCCATGACTACATGTATTTTACGATCTGGTTCTGGGGGGTTGCGGCCAAGGTTGGTGGTGGTGGTGGTGGTGGTGGTGGCAGGGGGAGTGTAGTAGATGCGTGGAAAGTACATGTAGATTGTGATTTGTGCAATTCTGCTTTTTTTCTAAATTGCACAGATTGTGGTTGCGAACCCATTTCAAAATCTCGAACCAAACAGTCAAAACTTTTGCCAAATTACAATCGGGGTTAGGATCATGATCGCAATGACGCGCGCTAAAACGTACAACCAAAATCTAAACTCATCCATCCTCGCTCACATTTGCCTCAAAACACCAAAAACAAAGGTCCAAAAGAGCGACTTAAATAACTACTTTTTAGTTTTATATGATAAGGGCCAGGCGGTCAAGATCATTGGGCATCGAAAGGCATGGGTATTAAACAATTACCTAGTGCACCTACTCAAGGACCATAACGTCCTCATCCCCACTTCCCTCCTCCTCCTCCTCCTCCTCCTCCTCCTCATCATCATCATCATCATCGTCCTCCTCACCCCCATTACCACCCTCACTTTCATCGCTGTCAAGGTCCACAAAATCATCCCGGCCCTTGCCCCCTTCCTCGGTGGAAAACTCATTCATGGGTGCGATGCGATAGTCGATGACATTGCGACTAACCCTCCTCGCACCGCGGCCCGCCGAGGAGGAGGTGGTGGTGACGGTACTACCGCGGCCCGCCGTGGAGGCGGTGGTGATGGTACGGACAGAGGTGGGCGCTGGCCCTTCTTGGCGGCGGCGTTTATTGGATGGAGTTGGATCGGGGGGGGTGGTTAGGTGGCTCTTGTTGGTATTTTTGGAGGGGGCGGGGAGGATGAGGTGGTTGGACTTGAGGGTGGAGAGCCGGGCGTGGGGATTATCGTTGGGGTGGTTCCGAGAACAGAAGTCGACCATCTTGTTGTAGGAGACATTGTCGTATTCATGGAAGTGGAGCGCGGTGGACGAGAAGCGGAGGCCTTTCTTGTCGTCGGACTAGTTTTGTCATATATATTAGTTATCTGCTGTGCATGCTAGGGGGGGAAATAACCCACAATCCTAAAGTACCCCAAGATCTCATCCAAACTGACGTTCCTGATCTCGCCATGCACGAGCCACCCCTTCCTGACCAACCACTCCCTTCCCCACTCTGTATCCTGCACTTTCTTCGCCCAATGCTTCTTCACATTCTCGCCCCCCTCGCGCCACTCCGGGAGGGTAACCATACGTCGATCGCCCACTTTGTAGTTACCACAGTACATCCACAACTTGTCGACCTTCCTAAGAACTGGAACCGTCGCCACGCGCCTATCAATCGGGTCGTCCTGACCATATATATCCAACATCTCAGCATTATCACAAATCGTGCCCGGAGGTTTGAAATGTGCATCTGGGGATAAACAGATGTAATTACGCGTTCTGATCACAGCGCGGGCAATGTCTTCGGCTTTGACTGTCGCGCAAATGAGCCCTGGATTCCCACCACCGTAGATGCCGCGTAGGTCCTTCGGTGTGAATAGGGCAACCTGATCAACCCTCTTCGCTGGTGGAATTGGCTTCTTTGTGGACGCGGGACCAGCACCGGCAGGGAAAGATGAGATAGCACGGTTCTCAGCCTCGAGGCCGTGGTCGTCGGCCCACGTACGTGGAGTATTAACAGCCGTAAACCCGGGCTTCCGCGAGCTGGGAATAATGGGCGTGAACTGTGTCTCTTCATCCTCATCCACGCTCGACACAGAAGCCCTTGTGGTGCCGCCTCTTTTGTACGGCCTCGAGCGGCGCCCTGTCACACCTAATCCGCCACGCCTAGGTATATTAGGGACCTCCTCAGGTTCAGGACTGCCATTACTGCTGCTGCTACTGCTGCTGCTGCTGCTTATAGCAATACGGCCCCGTGAAATGCCACGGCCGCGTGTAGGGCGGCCACGACTAGGGACCATTTTCTGTACTGGGCGGGGGGGCTTGCTCGTAGCTGCTGCGGAGGTCTCGGAGGCGGACCCCCCAGTCGTACCCCCACCTTGCTTAGTTTGTTTGGATGGTGGGATCAGAGGTTTAGGTGTCGCTTTCGGGGCTTCGACAGTCATTGGTGCGACTGGCGCAGCTTGTGCTGGTGGGGGCAGTGGTAGTGTGTAGTAGTCTGCGTCGTCGTCGTCGTCCATCGCCATCGTGGTATCCTGTTGCGCATCCCTCAGAGCCTGTGGGGCAGCAGCAGCAGCAGTAGATGGTCTACTAGCAGATGCAGTAGCTGCTTTAGTAGTTGATATAGAAGCCGATGTATTGGCTTTGGTAGCTGAAGTAGTAGCTACTTTAGCGGCTAATGGAGTAGCTACTACAGTAGCTATTGGTGTAGAAGCTGCTGTAGAAGCTGCTGTAGCAATACTTTTCTTGGGCTCCGCCTGCTTCACTGTGGCAGGTGTTCCCTCAGCAGCTTCCGTGGCCGTCTTCTGGAGTCTTTTGATCCTGGCCTTCTGTCGCGCAACATGCTGCTGATGTAGAATCGTGTCGGAATGGCGGGCTAATTTTCGTAGAGTATCTATGTGCCGCTGCCGCCTCTGCTCCTGCATCCTGAATGCCTCCTCTGACTGCTGCTGCTGCAACCTAAATGCCTCCGCTGACTCGCGCTCTGCCTTTTCGAGGGCATCGATCTCTGTAAGTAAAGAGGAAGTGATATCAGATGTGGCGGCTAAACCCTCGATCTCTTCGACATCTATGTGGTGCGCCTGTAAGTTTGAAAACACGGGATGTATAGGTATGCTTGTTTTACTTACCGGAGGAGTATTCGTGTTCGTGTTCATGAGAGATGGTCATGGATAGGTCATGAACCGATTTGCCAGCCATTGCTGAGTAGAGATTAAATCAATTAAATAATACTATGAGGGGAAGTGAGGTGGTAAAGAGGATAGGAGTGTTTGTTAGAGTGACCGAGTGATCGAGTGATGGTTGATTTTTCTACGATCCCACCACGTAAATAGCGGCACCACTTGGGGGATACGCGTTGAGTTGCAACAACGTGTTTTGCCGCATGGGAAAATGACGTTAAAACTTGGCACACTAGATCAATCAAGATGCATGCGTGGTGTAAACCCTAACCCTTACCAGGATGCAGCGTCTTCGGACTCGAAGGAAAGTGCAGTTGTCTTTCACAGGCAGGAGGCAGTTGGTGGTATTGATTTGTGTTTGTGCCTGCGAAGGATACCATGTTGCTACCTGAGCCTTATATACGAAACTTGTATAGGTCTTGCGAAGGTAGAATACGACGACCACCTCAGTCACAGTTAGAACATACAGTGAGCGTGTATATATAGTGTATAAACACATTTTTTCTATCTCCTTTGAGGCTACTATCAATAGGATTATCAGGTTGCATCTACAACACAATAATGGGTGTTAATCACCAAACATCACTCGGGACCTGCCAAGAAACTAGACTTCTATCGATAAGAACTTTAGAACGTCCCAATAGATACATGTATCCAAGTTATAATTCTACTCTATGTGAATGCTACAAGTTATGAGTACAAAAGGCAGAATTTTCCGAAAATATCGAGTGATATCTCATGGTAATAGCTTGGCACTCCATGGAGGCTCAAATTAAAGCCCACGCGCCGGCGAAAGTGGGTTTTTCAAACGATACCTCTTGGGAACTGGGGTGTCGAGGAGCTATGCGCACAACACCAGCGCGTACACTTCCTTTCTACGATAGCATCAGTACTTCATACTTAGAGCTAGTAAACTAAACTCCGGGAAACAAACCCACTTTCGCGAACATGAATGTGTGAAGTTAATCCCGAGGTTTATGTTCGCTTACCAAGATGCTATAACCGACGACGTTTTGGATTGATGCTGGATTACCTACTCTTTTCATGCATACATCGAATCTTAAGCTTCTTCTTCTCACCGGAGGATCCAAGATGTAAGTGTAAAGCAAGGGATGTACCTGTGTGAGTAGAGCAGAAACCGTCTAAGGTTAGCCCAAGCCTAGAGCCCTTATGATTTCCTACGCATCATGCACCCCCCTCACGCCGTAGCAACAGCACCACTGGCAGAAATTTCAGTGTGAGTGAAGTTTTTGATCAGTGGCCATTAGTCCCCATTGGTTACACCGTGATTTGGCTATATTGGTTCGCTCTTTCTCCTCTCGCTCGCTGCCTTGTCGAAAACATACGTAGGTTTACCATATCCACTTACTCCACCCTGGGAAAGAAGAAAAAAAGTCGCTCATTTCCACAACCAACCACATTGGAAGGGAAAAAGAGGCCCCTTCCCCAAGCTTTCTCTTAGTTTTTTTTTTCTCCTTCTGTTTTCGTTTCTCTCCAGCAAGCAGAATTTTTGAATTTTCTCAGCCTGGCCGACAAGCTCCGTATAAACCCTTTCTGCTTGCCCTTATCCAGATCGACTATTGAAAACACCAGTGGCAGCTTCGAAAAAGCTCAAAGCGCTACCCAGAAGCAAAAGACTGGATAGTAAACCCCCCCCTCCAAACCTCTTACTTAGTAGCTACACACACCCCCGCAAAGCAAGCCATGAGTGACCCAAACGGCGAGTACAACAACGGTCTGAACCTAGCCACAGCAGAAGACCAGCAACGATCTTACCACCAAATCATGATGAATATTGAGCAGTCATGGAATCCTCAAGGCTGGCAGCACGAGATCGAAGCCGGAGAGAGAGCTAGGGCCATTATCCAGATTGCCGTCGCGGTGAAGGATTTCCGGGGGGAGATGAACCAGGACCAAGCCGTATATATAAGCACTGCCTTCGAACGATCCGTCTACGAGAAGGGTACATCATCAAACGAGTATCGTGATGCGTGTCGGATGAAATTGGCGCAGATACAAGACTCGAGAAGACGGCAAATTGCGAAAGAAGAGGGAGAGTGGAGGAACCAGAACCCAGAGCAACAACAACATCAAGGAATGCAGCAGCAGCAGGGGTTCTCGTCACAACAACCGCAATATTCGAGTCCTCTAGGTCTCTCGCCCCAATTCACGCAGCAGCAGCAAGAGCAGTACCAGCAACAGCAACGGCATCACCAACAGCAACTGCAGCAGCAGCAGCAGCAGCAGCAGCAAATACAGCAACAGCAACAGATACAGCTCCAGCAGCAATACAACCAGCAACGTCAGCTCCTACAGCAGCAGCAAGCTCAGCAGCAAGCTCAGCAGCAAGCACAACAGCAGGCCCAGCAACTTCAGCAACAGCAGCAGCAACAGCAACAGCAACAGCAGCAGCAGCAGCAACCACAATATCAACAACAACAGCCACAACAGCCCGTCTTCCAACTATCTCAGCAACAACAGGTAGAAAGAAATCAAATCATCCACGAATACATGAATAGTGTGGCCCAAAAAATAGGCTCGCCCATGCTCCATGATATCAACCAAAACCCCACCCAAGATATAAGAGACCTGGCTACAGCGTGGGGCATGCCGCCTGCGCAAGCGTTCCTACGGCAGCAGGCGATGATGCTCTACCGACAGAGAGTGATGTACCAACAACAGCAGCAACAGCAGATGCAGATGCAGGCTCAGGGTATGAACGGACAGAATGGATATTCAAACCAGTAATACATTGGCCTCTTGCCCTTTGTCAAGTGTGGTGACGTTTGTAGTGCTTGCGATTTGATGCGATCGGTTGATATTTAGCGGAGGTTCTTTTCAGTTATACCTTCCTCAGAAATACCTATCTACCTATGGAAAAAAAACTAATTTGTCTAAGATCCAAATCCAAGGGATATATGTATATATTATGAATTTCTTTTATTATCCTCTTCTGGCCTGTGATGGCATTGATGGAGAAAAGTCTCGGACAAAAGCTTGTTTACTCTCCTACTCCTTACTATTCTTTCTTTTCTTCGTAGCTATTTCCTTCCTTTTTCCGTCGGGGTAGCATGCGCGCGTATTCCGTGTCGTCTTTCTTTTCTCTAGTTCCTAAGCATGGATTCGATTTTGCGTCATCACCGTCATAAAACAACCTAAGAGGCGCCAGTTAGGCCTATATAAAAATATCATCATTTGTATTTTCTCTGAGTGCGTTTAAGTACGATTTAATTTTACCAAGAACCCTTTTTTTGATTGCCGGGGCTCCTCAAGAGTACTTGCAACGCGTTAACGTTGACGGTTGTTAACATCTAGATAAGAAACTCCGATTACGATCCTCCCGTCTTAGCACCGATCGGATCCTCGCCAGGATCGTGCTTGGTACACACAAAAAACATGAGAGCTCATATATTGGCCTAACAAGGTAGATAAGACTTACACTCGCTCACCTAGTGACGGCGGATACTCTCTGATGGTTATATTCACAGTAATTTACCCCTTGGCGCCCCAAATTTAATCTATTGGCCTCAAATCCCTGAGAGCCATTAGACAGGATCCGCCTTCACCCCGTGAGTGAGTGCACCTACAATTTCTGCCAGTGCTATTGAAAAGGGATGAGAGATGAAGGAGGATGTATCGAGTGATATGTCGTGATTGATGCTTGTAATGCTAGAGTAGAATTCTATCATACAGCTGTAGGGTAAAATGCAATAAATTGTAGAAGAAACCTAAAAGGATACTTATTGATTTCTACACCAGTCTTCAACCCCACCACGGTGTGACCTTTGGGGGCGAGTAAAGTACGTCTGTCTCTCTACCTTAGTCAACATTTCTTTCAACCGTTCGGGCATACAAGAAGCGTTTTTTTGGCTATTTATATAGGTACATGTTACTAGGGGTACGCCACCTCGCGACCGCGAGGTCCCCTTCTCTCCCACCTATGTGTACAGTGTCCGGTAGAATTATTGCGAAAGTCAGAACTAAAAGGGTGAGTTTCTTGGCTCGTGCTCACTGCAAAAATTCCTTTGAGGGCCAATGGGACTATCGGGTCACGGAAAACCCACTTTCGCATTAATTCTACCACAATCTGTAGTATCTAGGCACCTCCAGTAATTAGTTAATTTTGTCTTAGCCGTCTCATGGTCTGTTTTCCCGGCCATGTCGCATAAATACCTCAATCTTGCTCTGAAGATCTATTTCCGATTTTCAATGCCAGGTCCAGTGCCAGCTCTAATGCCCGCTCCAGTGCGAGCTAAAATCAAGGTCAGCCTATCACGGGGACGGTAGGCGATAGACTGTAGTGCCAAGGAATACAACCTAGGTAGTGACGTAGACGTGGACGTAGACGTAAAGGTATACTTTTGACTATGGACTATGGGGTGGCTCTATCTGGTATGATAAACCAGTTGGAGCCCTATGACGTAGTGCAGACAAAGAATAGTATTCGTGGAATAAATACAGAGGTTGCGTAAGGAAGAAAGAGAAGAAGGAAAACAGACAAAAGCACAAGACAACGCCCCCTTATATATCCATCCATAATCCAACGATGACTAATACCTTCGCGTAACAGAAACCCAAAGAACATAGCAGAAATCCCCATTACAAATCCTAATCCCACTGCACGATACCTACTTCCCTCATACCAGTTCATCACCTAGCCGAAATACGTAGCTGCCGTTACAGACCACGCCCCCCTCTAAGGCCTACCTCCTGGTAGGCTTAGGCTTCTCTGGATAACGCTCATGGAATCGTCTAATAATTTCAGGTGAATGCTCAAGGTCCGATAGCGGTTGCCAGAAGGCTTCATCATATCCCATATATCGTACCAAATATTCAAATCTTCCTCTTCGTTTCCTCGAATCCAAAATATCTTCGACTTCCCATTCTTCCTCCCCTTCGATTTCAACTGGAGGTGGTGGTAATCGTTGTTGTCCTGGTAAAGGATCATTCGCTTCAGGTGACAATAACGAAACATGAAATACTGGATGAATTTTCATCGACCGGGGAAGTTCCAACTCGTAAGCATAGGGATTAACGATTCGTTTAACGCTATAAGGCCCAATACGTTTCCAGTCGAATTTCTTAGAGGGTCGTTTTGTTAGAATATGGCGGGTCGATAGAAAAACTTTGTCTCCTAAATAATATCGAGGAGCTGGAGTTCGATTTCTATTGGCTGATTCTTCTTGTATCCTTTGCGCCCGGAACATTTCTTCTCTTAGGAAGTCCACCACATCCTTCATTTCCCTTGCAATACGGTTCGCTTGATCCTCCGCCGTCGTCCGACCATGTTTCAAAGGCCCAAATGTTATCCTAGGATTCCTTCCCGAATTAGCATAAAAGGGGGAAACTTTTGTTGTTTCGGAAACGTGGTTGTTGGTTGCAAATTCAGCCATCGGTAGCCATCGGACCCAGTCATCTTGTTGATAGGAAACATAGCTTCGGAGGTATTGTTCCATTATGGCATTGATTCTTTCTGTCTGTCCATCTGTTTGGGGGTGGAATGCAGTAGAAAACTTTGGCGAGATTTCCAATCGATCACAAAGGGACCTCCAGAATTCCGCGACGAACTGTGTTCCTCGATCGGATACCATGGTGTCGGGTAATCCATGTAGCTTCCAGACGTTATCAATATATAGCCTTGCTACTTCCTGTGAGTCCGCCTTCTTTGTCGTTGGTATCAGATGCCGCATTTTGGTTAGTCTATCCACCACGACCAAAATCGCATTATACCCATCACTCTCAGGAAGATCAGTCACAAAGTCCATCGAGACATCTGTCCAGGGTCCATCGGGAATTGGCATGGGGCGAAGTACTCCATAAGGTGCATTGTGTGATGCCTTGCTACGGGTGCACACATTGCAATTCCTAATATACTGATCGACAAACTTCCGCATCTGTGGCCAGTAATATTCTCGACTTAGGAGCTCCAGAGTTTTCGCTCTACCCGGATGTCCTGCAGATGGTTTGTCATGATATTCTTTTAAAAGCCTTAGTCGAAGGTCATCGTCGTCTGGTACATATAGCATGCCTCGATAAAGCAGCCGACCGTTGTTATCTTCCATACATTCGGCAAGTGAGATTTTGTTTGAGTGGCGTATGCCATTCCGAAGCATATTGAGGACCTTGTTTGGGAAACTATCCACTTGGTAAGCCTTTGAAAATAACTCCTCTACAGTGGACGCTCCTTCAGCGGATTCATTTGACAAAGAACCCGCGAACAAACTTAGCTTGGTATCCAAATTTTTTCGCTTCAGAATCACTTGACTCTGATGCGTTAACCGTTCATCCCCCTCTTTAGGTAGGTCACCTGACCTCCTAGTCAATGCATCTGGTTTTGTTCCTTGTTTTCCTGGCCGAAATTGTATAACGAAATCGAAGCGTGAAAGAAATTCGGACCAACGGGCTTGTCGACGATTTAACAATTTTGTTGTCATAAAATACTCAAGATTCCGATGGTCGCTAAGAACTTCAATTGGAAATTGAGCTCCCTCCAGATGATGTCGCCATTCTTCAAAACATCGTATAATTGCTAAAAGTTCTTTGTCATAGATTTCGTAGTTGCATTCTGCGGGAGAGTGTTTCTTGGAAAAGAAAGCAACTGGATGTAGGATTCCTTCGTTGTCACGTTGAGATAGGATTCCTGCTGAAACATAGTCGGATGCATCGGTTTCTATCACAATTTTTCGATCTGGATTGAAATGAGCTAGTATCGGTGCCGTTGTAAACATCCTTTTCAAAGTCTGAAATGCTTCCTCCCTTTCATCCGTCCATTCAAATTTAGCATTTTTCTTTGTCAAGGCTGTAAGCGGGGCAACAATTTTCGAATATCCCAAAATAAACCGTCGGTAGAAATTTGCAAATCCTAGGAATACTTGAACATCACGAAGGTTTGTCGGTGTAGTCCATTCCAAAACATCGATAACTTTCTTTGGATCCATTCTATTCCCATTCGGAGTAAGGATTAAACCAAGATATTTTGTTTCCTGAACCATAAATTCACATTTTTCAGGTTTAAGGTGAACATGATTTTCATCAAGTACCTTTAGAACCTTCTGAATATGTTCTTTATGTTCTGATAGAGTCTCGGAATAGATAAGGATATCGTCTAAGTATGCTGTTACGAATTGATCGAGGTAGGGACGTAGAATATCATTGATCCAATGTTGAAATGTAGCAGGAGCATTAGCTAATCCAAATGGCATTACTGTATATTCGAAATGTCCATATCGAGTCCGGAATGCTGTTTTCCATTCGTCCCCCTCCGCTATCCTGATTTGATTATACCCCCAACGTAAATCCAACTTTGTATAATATTTTGCTCTTGACAACTTAGCTAGGGTTTCCTTTAACAATGGTAACGGATATCGATTTTTGATCGTAATCGCATTTAGGCCTCGATAGTCAACACAAAGTCGAAAAGTTCCATCGTTTTTCTTTACGAACAATATAGGTGCTCCCGCTGGTGATTCACTGGCTCGAATGAATCCTTTAGGTAATGTAACGGGGACTATGGGCGTAGGAACTATGAAGCCAAGGAATACAACCGAGGCGAAGACGTAGACGTAGGAGGTTCGTGGACTATGGACTATGGGGCCGAGGTATGCTACCAAGGCGGAAACGTGGACTATGGACTATGGGTGGTCGTACCTGGTCTAGTATACCGGGTAAACCCTATGACGTAGCGCGAACCAAATAGTATTCGTAACTGTAAAGTACAGAGGTTACATAAAGAGAAAAGAGAAAGAAAG